AAATAAGAATTTAAAAAATAAAAATATCATAATGTTCAATTTGATATTTATTATAACAGTTCAATGTTCAAATGATAAATTATATTTTGCAATAAACTATAACTATAATAATTAATCGATTAACTTCTATTTTCATAAAATCATTTTAACACTATTCGAGATTATGGAAAATATAATTTCAATACATTTAAAAATTGTTAAAATGATGATTTTTTTTTTTTTTTACACATTTATAAATAATGATAATTTGTAAAGAAATTAAGCGTAAAATGAGTGGAAAAAATGAAGAGAATGAGAAAGAAGAAAAGAAAATTTTTAATTGAAAAATGTAAAATAGATAAATAATCTGACAACTGTTCAGTACAACAAAAATTTTGTTCATTGAATTTTAAGCTTTTGCAAAATAAGTATTGCTAAAATTACTGAACTAAATGCACTAATAGAAAGTATGCATGTGTGTGCGTCGGCGTTGGATCAAAGTAAAATTTTAAAGTTAAAAATTTATGTATCGAAATTATATCAGTAAATATTTTTAAATCTTAATGAGACTTTTTTTCCGGAAAAATTGAATAAAATTGCATTCATTTTATTTTTTCCTATAATCTTTTATAAAATTACGATTTTTTATTCTTTTGGTAAACATAATTGAAAAATTGTTGCATATGACTTGCTCAACTTTCGATCAATCATAAATTAAGAAAAAAAAAAGAGAAAAAAAAACTTCCACTTGAAAATATTTTAGTTATGCATACAAAATTGAATAAATTTTTGTTTGATTTTAATTGAAAAAGGGGAGAAATGAATTCAACTGCGAACAATGATTTGAAATTAAACTTCAAATTTAATAGATATCAATTGTCATTTGCAAGTGCATTCCTCATTTTTTTACAACTTTTTTATCAAAAATTTTAAAAATGTTCATAGCACTTGGTTTGATTTTAATCTATGAATGAACCTAAATATAAATTTAATTCAATAAAAAAATAAATTTAACTTACATGATGAATGTATCTTCTTGCTGAAGTCTTTATCATATATTTCTATTTGATTTTTTTTAATCAAATTATAAATTATAAGTTAATTTGAAATCCATCATTTCGTATAATTTTTGCTAAAAATTTTGATAAATTTCGTAGTATTTGCTCTTAAAATCAGTTTGAATTTTGTTATTAGATGTTAATTAACTCAAAAAATTCAAAGATATGCGCAAATTTTTATTGACATCAAAATTTTATGTGAAACATTTGATTTCTTATAATCTTGAAATAGAATGAAACAAATTAGGCATTAATTAAATAACGGACGAATTTTGTGACCAATTTTATTATATTCATTAAATTGCAATACTTTATTATTACTCAAATGTATTGTTTAAATAGACAAAATAACTTCATTTTACTCTTAATATTTTAGAAAGAAAAAAAAAATAGAAAAAAGAAAAAAAATTAATAATGAAAATTGGTTTAGAAATGAGTTATAAATGCAATAAATTTGCGATTAAGCTATTTCACAAAAAATAAAGTTTAAATTTATTTAAGTAATATTTTATTTAAAAATTTTTATGTTTAAATTGTAATGAAATTTTAAAGAACAGCTTTTCATAGATTATTTGAAATTTGTTATCATATGATAAAAGTGAGATAGATAATCAATAAATCTTAAATTAACACTTATTTTACACGTATCACACGGGTGTAATTTCAGTGCAACAATGCCTGAATTTCAGTTTACGCTCACTTTTCATTCTATGAAATTTACAAATAAAAGTAATAAAAAAATATTTATTCGCATAGAGATAAGAAAATGTGAATAAAAATTAAAAAAAAAAAAATATGTAGCAAATAAGAAGATAATAAAATATCTAATAGCTATGCAAATAAAACAAAATGATGAATTAATAAAAAAAAAATATGAATAACAATGATCAGATTTATAACATTTTCATAGATTTTTTCGTTTCGTTTTTTTTTTTTTTAATCATCAAATTGTCATTTTAAAATTGTCTGTCTGATTTAAATAACAAATATGACAAAATAATAAAAAAAAAAGATAATTTCTGACTTAATGCTATTTCTTATTGTTAAAATTTTTTTATTCTATTCATTTCTAAAAAAATTATTCACTTATCCAAAAAAAAGAGATAAAACATAAAAAATAAGCAAAAAAAAAAGAAAATATAGTTAATAAAATGAAAAATATTGTAACAATGAAGTAATACATTAAAATTTTTGAAAATTTCCTTATAATGATAGTAAAAAAAAAAAGATTAAAAAAAACGAACGAACAAAAGGAATAATTAATTCAATGAAATACGATAGAAAAGAAAAAATAATAAAATAATTTGAAATTGAAAAACTTAAATAATGAAGAACTGAATTCAAAGCAACTATGCTTATACACATATATATTGAAAAGCAATGAAAACAAATGAAAGAAAGATGAAAGGTAGAAGGATGACGAAAAATAATGATGAAGGAAAGAGGTAGAAGAAAAATGAAAAAAAAAGAAGGAAAACGATTAGATAAAAAAAAAAAGTTGAAATTTCTAATTGCTCTTTCATTCTTTCAATTTTTCACTCTTTCACTCAACCATTTAACTTTTTACCGTTTTTAAATATTAAATTATTTGATTGTATGTATGTTTTCAACAACAAAAAAAAATTTTTCTGACTAATCATTTGCTTACTTTGTTTGCTTGCTTGCTTATTGTTGAAGAGTTAAGTAATTAAAGTTGTAAAAGAAATGAAAACAAAATGAAGAAATGTTAGAATTAGAGAATGAAGTAAGGTTATAAGCTATATTATATGTAAAATTTCTTTTACTTTTTTCTTTTACATTTTAACTCTTTATATATTAATGTGATATTTTAAAAAAGAAGAATTAAAAAAATAAGAAAAGAATAAGATGATAAGGATGATAATCATCAATTAGATGAAAGAATTATATCGCATCGAAAAAGCGATATTATTAATTAGTATCAATTCTTCACTTTGATCATCATTACCACTATCATTATTATCATTGTTTTCATCGTTATTATCATTATTATCAGTGTTACAAAATGAATGAAATAATATCAGGACGATAATTTCATATTATGCTGTTCTCAAAGCAGAAAAAATTGCTTATTTATACTGTCAACGAAAAAAATACGAAAAGAATGTGATTTTATCAAAAAAAAAAAAGTAATAATAAAAATAAAGAATAAGTAAATAAACAAATAAGTAAAAAAATAGAAAAAAAAAGAAATTAGAAAAGAAAACTTCAGACAATGAGAAAATATGAAAATATTTTTGATCAAATTAGGAAAATAACAAAAACACATGGGATAGTGTTAATACTAGTAATTTAAAAATGAATAAATTTAAATTATTGTAATGGAAAATTATATTGATAAATTTATATGTAGTTATTTTAACTAATTTTATTTCACTAAAAAAAAAAATTTTCAAATTTTAATTAAAAATTTATTAATTAATAAAATGATAAGTCAGTTATGTCTTTCTTTCTTTTTTAGTGAAAAAGAATGGAGTGGAAAATTTAAAAAAAAAAAAATAATAATTCAATTTAAAACATTTGAAGATGATAGTGTATGATTAATAATTACTATCAATTAACACATTTTTTTTTTTGTTTAAAAAAAAAAAAAGAATGATGGATAAATATTTTGTAAAGATCTAAAATAGGAAAGGATGGCGAATAGAAATTTTTTCAATTCCAATATTATGTTAATGAAAGTGTTAGCTATGGAATGACACAGCTAATAGATAACATTCCTTTTTCTTTTTTTTTTTTTGTTATATATAACCATTATTATAGGAAATATTAGCTAAAAAAGTAGGAACATATTTGAATTGATAAAAAATATAATTGCATACAAAATTGAAATTCTATTTTAGATTAACTTTAATATATTCAATTTAAATAAGAATAAAAAAAAAAAAAAAACCAAAGCAATGAAATAAATGGAAATAATACGATGAGATAAATAAATGAATGAATTTAAAAAATTTGAAAAATTAAATATATAAAAGTTGATGAGCTCCGTATCATTCTATAGCTATAAATTGCATTGAAAAAGAAAAAGAAAATGTAAAATAAATATTAAATTTAAAGATAAGAAATAAAAATGAATAAAATGAATTTTTTGATTCCAAAATACAAAAATGCAATGAAATTTTTGAGAGAAAAAATAAAAAAAGAGAACATAATTTGATGCCGGCTAAAAATAGAATAAATGGTGGAAAAAGCAAATTCTTTGATTTCAAGAAGTACTATCAAAAATCATTGTTCGTTTTTTTTTTAATTTATCATTTTATCATATTTTATCTTTTCTTCTTTCTTTCTTTCCTCTTTTCTTTTTTTTTTTCTCTTTCTTTTTATTGTTCATTTTTTTTTTGGCACGCTACTGATCTAATCTTTTATCACCTTTAATTTTCAACTTTTAATTCGTTGTTTTTTTTTTCCTTTGTTTTTATTTATTTAATTCTTTCGCATATTTTAATTCTCATTCGTCACATCTTTTCTTATCCGTAATCTTAATTCTTTAATTTTAAGCTTTTTTTTTTTTCACATTATTAATTTAATTCTTTATTGTATATTTTAACTTTATCATTTATTTTTTCAACTTTGTATTTTTGTATCAAAAAAAAAATTTTTTTTATTTGAGAGATAAATTTTAAAACTGTATTTTATGCTTTTATTATCATATTTTATCATAATTCGAAACTTTTTTTTTCTCTTTTTTTTTTTTAATTTTATCCTTCATTTTAGTAATTTAAAGTGAGATAAAAGTATTACGTATATGTGTGCGTATTTATACGTATGTATGTGTTTTGTGTATACATGTATGTATGTTGTATGTTTTGATTCCAAGTAAGAAAAAAAAAATTGTTACTTATAAAAATAGCTTATCTGCTTGAAAAATTATTTATAGGCTGAAAAAAAGTTGAAAGGCAAACAATTTTTTCATTTAAAAAGAAAAAAAAAAAAGAAAAACATTGTAAATCAACGAACAACTTGTGGATGTTTTATATATATATATAAAAAATCGTTTTAAAAATATTAAAATATTCCATAAAAATTTATGTGCAAAAATTAAATTCTTTTTTAAAAAATTTTTTTCTTTTAAAAAGAAAAATTTAATTCTAATCTATTTTTATTTTTTATAACCTCTCTTCTTTTATTAAAATCAACTACTTCAAATCCTTTTATTTAAATTAACTAATTAAAAAAAAAAAAAAAAAAAAAAAACAAACAAATGAAAAAATAATGATAAAAAAAAAAATGACGAAGAAAATATTTATCAATAATTTTTATCTATCATTTTCTTCTTTTTCTTTTTTCTAATTTTATTTTTCAATGTTGAACGTTTACTACAAAACTGTTAGTTGCAAAAGAAAAGATAAGCAAAATAGAATGAACAAAAAAAAATTAAAAAAAAGGAAACGAAAAGGAAATGACAGAATGGGAGGACAAATTTCAGACCGGTTAAATTTTTCTTCATAATGTAGTTGATGAATTGATCGGTTGATTGGTTGTTCGTTTAGTCCATTGGTTTATTGGTTATTTTATATTTTTGGTTGATTTTTTGGTTTCAATTTAGTTTTGGTTGTATATAATTTGTTTAAAAATTATTTATTTTTTGAAAAAAAAAAAATGTTAACCCATGATATGTATTACTATTTATTAAACATTTTTCATTTATTTTGTTTTTGGTTTTCTTTTATTGAAATTAATAAATCTATCTTCTTTGTCTAAAATAAAATTTATTTTTTCATCCCTTTTTTTTCACACCTTTTTTTGAAAAAAATTAAAATAAAAAACATGGAGAGAGATTGATTAGAGAAATGATGTGCAATTTTTTAGTGATACATTTACGTAACAAATTTTCAACTAATTATTTCCTAACTTCTTGATAATGATTATAATTTTTTAAAGTTAATCATAGTTTTCAGATTAAATTACTTTATTCTACGATGAATTTCAAAGAATAATCATTATTTTTTTGATAATAATCATGACTTCCTAATTTAAATATTTGTTTTAGAAATCATTTGCTGAGTGATGGTTATAATAATCATAATTTTTGAATTTCAATTCTTATTTTATGATGAATTTTTTAGCAAATAATTTCTTTTCATTTTTAATTAAATAAGCAAAAAATTAAATTGAAAATTATGAAATTTTAAACTATCATTACAACTAAAATATTACTGCTCAAATAATTGATCCGATGTTTTAGATTGAAATTTAAAAATCTTTCATTTGTTTTTGTTTTTGTAAATAACAACATTTGTTATTTATTCTATTTATACCACATGCTGTGAACAAATGTTTTGAATTGAAGTCACATTGATTGATTTGACATGGAAATTTAGTAAACTATTTATCGATCATGTAGTTGCTATGATTGTCTATTAAAATCACATTTTTTCTCTCTCTTTCTTCTCAGTACTTTCCCTCATAACTATCAAAAAATGATTGGAAACATATTAATTAATTTGGTTTAAATGAAAAAACAGAAAAAAAATAAAGTATTTTTTTGTTTACTCAATAATTTAATTTGTTTTTATTTGTCTAATTTTTCCATGTTTTTTACTGCTATAAATAACAATATTAATCATTTCAAATACCATTAACAATTAGTATAGCAATTGGATTGTAAATACCATTTGAAAAGAAAAAAAAACGGGAAATTTCATCTTATATTTCATTCAATAGAATTTGAAAATTGTTTTTTAGGTGACATTTGATGGAGTCATTGCGATCATTTGATCCAAAAAACTATTGAATAGAATAAACAGCAATACGAAATATTGAACAAATAATTACAAAAGTTTACTTTTTTATTATTAAATGAAAATTTCTTATTAATATAATAATGATAAATGAATATTTAGTGATGGAAGGATGAATTATCAGTTAATTTATTTTCTGCTTAATTTCTATGTAATTGTTTGTTTCTTTGTTTCCTTTTCCTTCTTTTTTTTTTTTTTCATTTAAATAAAATTGTTTATTTAATTCGTTAATTTAACTGATTGATATTTTAGGATTAATTGAGGAAAATTATTCTCGATTAGTGAATGATGTTGAATACCATTTGTTATGTACTATTTTTGATGGTTTACAGCGGATCACTATTTGTACAACTTGGATATTGGATTATTGAAACATTTTGCCTGGAACATTTCGATCAATCGCAATATAATTTGTTATTACGACAATTTCACGAATGTAAAACTGTTTTTTCTTTTCTTTAATTATTATAATTTTGTTTGAATAAACCGTAAAATATGCTAATTTTATTATAACAAATAAAATATAATTTTAATCTATAATAATCATCTTAGTAAGTAGACAATTAAGCATTTATTTGATATCACTTCGAAATTGTTATTTCTAGAAATTCTGCATGTTTGTAAACAAACATTAACTTCGTATCAGAATTTTTGATTTATTTTATTGCAAATGATTGAAAAGAAATTAATTGCAAAAGATTAAATATTTAACACAATTTGATAATAAAATGATAAAATACTTTCGAATTATCAAAAATAACTTTTTTTTTTTCATTGTTCAAAAGAAAAAGAAGGATTGTTTTGAATTTTTAACAATTGAAATTATTTTTCAGAATAATATTGCTCAATTCAACATTTTCTTATTATTGTAAAACTATTGCGATTAATTTGATCGTAACAATGATGCGAATAGAATAAATTATACTTAATTTTTTTTTTACAACATCATATGATGAAGTTTATCATCCATGTAAGGTTACTTAATTTTTATTTGTTGTATGAAATTTTAACTTTATGCTAAAATTCCTTTCATCTATTTACCATTTTACTAATTTGAAAACAAATTTATTGTATTTTTTTTTTTCAATTTTTCTCACTTAAAAAATAATTTACAAAATAAGGAAATTTGTAATGAATGTTGTAGCAATTAATAATAATATATGAATAGTTGAAAAATTCTTCCTTTTCCAGAAGAAACCAAATTTAAAAAAAAAAAAAAAGGAAGATTGGGAGAGAAAATGAAGTGCTGAAAGAGGAATGAATGAGAGGAGGAATGGAGGAATGAATGAATGGAATGAATGATTGAATGAATGAATGAATGAATGGAATGGAATGGAATGGAATGGAATGAATGAATGGAATGGGATGAATGAATGGAATGGAATGGAATGGAATGGAATGGAATGGAATGAATGAATGAATGAATGAATGAAATGAATGAATGAGTGAATGAATGAATGAAATGAATGAATGAGTGAATGAATGAATGAATGGAATGGAATGGAATGAATGAATGAATGGAATGGAATGGAATGGAATGGAATGGAATGGAATGGAATGAATGAATGGAATGGGATGAATGAATGGAATGGAATGGAATGGAATGGAATGAATGAATGAATGAATGAATGAATGAAATGAATGAATGGAATGGAATGGAATGGAATGGAATGAATGAATGAATGAATGAATGGAATGGAATGAATGAATGAATGAATGAATGAGTGAATGAATGAATGGAATGAAATGAAGTGAAATGAAATGAAATGAATGGAATGAATGAATGAGTGAATGAATGAATGAATGAGTGGAATGGAATGGAATGAATGAATGATCAATTTTAAGTGTTACATTCGTTTATGTCATTTCCCCTCCTCTTATCATGAAACAACATTATTGCAATCGATCAGTTATCACTCAGGGACAGATTATATCGATACGATCTGTAAACGATAAAAACAATTTCTAGGAACAAAATTGTTAATGGTTCCACATTCCATTTGATACTCTTTTAGAAGTTATTTTTGCAATAAAATAGAAAATTCTAATTTACTTTTGTTTTTAAAAGATTTAAGATGTTTAGTTTATTTTTTTTATTTATAAATTCAACTGATATAAATAAATTATTAATGTGCTATTGTAAGATTTTGCATTCCTATATATATATCATAATTTATATTAATTAATATAAACAGGATTAATTGATGGAGAGATGGAAAAGATTGATTTTAAAACAATTTTATGAAACATTACGTTTTTTTTTTTTTTTTTTTTTTGTTGAAAAAATGATCATAAATTCATAATTCATGTAAGTTTTATTCAAAAATTATTATTTTTTGTATTGTGTTAAAAAGAAGGAAATTAAAAATAAATTTAGAAATTAAAAATTTTTGGCATTATCCTATGGGAATAGTTTATCTTTAGTCATTATTCTTGCAATGAACAAAATACTTTTTGTTCTTAGAAATATCTTGAAAAAAAAAGAAAACGAAGAAAATTTTTTACTAGAATTGTGAATTTATTAAATATTTGAAAGAAAAAAAAAACAAATTTTCTTAATCAATCAATTTTTAAAATCATATAGGATTAACATTCATTTTGAGTTACAATTATCAATATACATATTTAGATCTATTAATTAGCTCTTCATAATCAAAATTTCATATTAATCAAAAATTCAATGTAATAATTTAATACAACAGTAAAAAGGATGTATTAGATTGTAAACATGAATAAAAATTTAAAATAAGGCAAAAATCGTTGACAAATTACAATTTTAATAATTGGAATATTAATAAATTGTTATCATGTACTAATTATTGTGATGAAAAAAAAGAAAGAAGAAAAGAAACATTGAATCTGAAAACTAAAACGTCTGATTAAAAAATTTTCATATTCAGTTGCATTAATGGACATTTCAGGTTGGTAGCTGGTGAATTCTGAATATCAATTCAAGAAATTCGTTCTTCCACTTTTTTCTTTCGAGTTGAAAAATGTTCTAAAATGTTAAAAAAGTTTTAACAATTGCAGGTTTATTTTGAAAATAGCAAAAATTCAAAACGAATTTTTGGTGATTTGCGACTGCAATTTATCAAACCTTATCAATTATGCATTATAATAGAATTGGATGTTCGATTATATTATTTGATATTGTTTGATTACAAAATTCATCCATCAGCCATTGCTTATCAGTCTTATATCAGTAGTATCGATATTTAAGATAGGAAATATTTAAAAAAGAAAAAATCTGGAACACAGAACTAAAATAATTTAATTTCCGGTCAAAAAATTGTATGCATGAGATATGCAAACATTCATTATTTGCTAAAGTTAGATTTTTAAATTTGCTCAAGATCACTTCAAACAAGCACTGATTGTTAACAATTGAAATTATTATTGTCAATATCGCTACTTTTATTTATTTATTTATTTTTTTTTTTAAAAAAAAGAACAAAAACAAAAAAAATAATAATAATTCATCAATCTATTCAATGATTTTAATATGATAAGAAGAATGAATTAAGACGAATATGTGAAAAAGAAAATTTAGGTAAGAGAAGAAATATATAAATGCTATATAAATTTTTATAATGAAAAAGAAAAAAAAAATGCAATAATTAACTTTAACATCAACTTTTTCCTCTCTCCCTCTCTCCCCCTCTCTCTCTTTCTCTTGTTATTATTGAAATGTTTTATAAAAGATTGGTTTTAATTTAAGAATGATGTAAAAAAACAGAAAACAGGTTGTAAATATAATTTCAATAAAAATTTAATCAAAATCAAAAGCTACCATAACTTACCTTTAAAATTTTTTAAACACCATTTTACATTGCATCAATTATGACTAAACAATTTTTGCGTACTAAAAACAAAACAAAAAAAAAAAAGTTATAGAATTTATTTGCTGATTTGCTGATTATCATCAACTTTATCATCAACATTTCTTATGTTATCGATTTTTCTAAATGATTCTTTGTTTGTTTTTTTCTCTTTTTTTAAACTTGATAACTTAAAGTTTTTTCTTAGTTTTTTTAAAAAATTTTTTTTTCTTATTCGTTCGCTTTAATTTAGTAATTCTAACAAAGAAAGAAAAAGGTAAGGGAGAAAGCGGGAAAGAAAATCATTACATGGTTCCCGAGATTTACGATTTTTGTATATTGTTTTATTAAAATTATTAAAATTAAAGAAAAAAATTTTTTTTTTAAAAAAAAAACGAAGTAGCTAATTTTGAATAAATTGATAAATCGTTTTATTTTGCAAATTCATTTACCATATGTGTAACTTTTCCGCTTTACTATTTTTTCCCTTACGATTATTTAATAAATATTTTTAATTCGAAATAAATAAATAAAATATGTGGAAGTTCTACAAAGCGAAGTTATTTTTTAAATCTGGAAAAAATTTGATGATACAAAATTTTAATATTTTTCATTTTATTGTTTTGTAGAACTTTTCAGTTTTATTAAATTTGCCGTTTCAAATTACAAATATTGATGATTTAATTCGAGAAAAAATGAATAATGTTAAAGATCAAACTTTTCTATTTTGAATTTAATTACAAAAATGATCAAATTAGTTTTTCATATCTAATCTTCTGGAAAATTGATATGTTTTTCTTGCTTTTCTTTACTCCTTAATCATCTTTTTTTTCTCATTACTTAATACTGTACCATTATCATGTTAACTCAACTTAGAAGTTAGAATATTAATTAGATTTCATTGAGAGTAGTTTTAATTCTTTATTTTTTATCACCAGATATATACGGAGTAAGCTAATAAGTCAGAAAATAGCAAATTTAGTTTTTCATTTTGTAATTGATAGCAATTGAAATTCCAAGTTATTCTTCTTCTGTAATAATTACAAAAATATTATCCATTTTTAAATCTTTGAAAATTTCTGGAAAAAAAGTGCAATAAATTATTCCTTTCAGAACATTTATAATAGTTATTATCTATTTTGTCAAAATTAATTTTAACGATTGAACTAGCAGTAAGAAAATGTAAAATATTAATTGAAAAATTTATTTGGGAAAACGTATTATTTATTTTTTGTGAAACTACCATTTAAACTTTACAAATAGAAAGAACTGATAAAGAATGTTTTTCATCTCAATATTGTTTAATTTGTATCATTTTCACAGTCAAAACATTAAAAACAAGAATAAAAAAAAAAGAGAGAGAGTGAAAAAGAAAAAAAAAATGCAAAAATTGAAAGTAATGATAATGTGAAGGATTGATGATGGATAAGAAAAGTGTGAAAGAGAATAAAATAATTAGGAAAAAAAAAATGTTGAAAAATATGAGAATAATATGCTAATAAGTATATTTTTTAATTTTACACTTTTAACAGACCAATAAGCGCCAATAAAAATTATCAAAAGTTTTATGCTAAACATATCACAAAGTTAATCGAATGTTCTTGTTGTAAAATTTTAACTTTATCCATTCATTTCTTTTTTTTTTTTCTTCGACTGATAAAATTTGTTTTTTTTTTTTTTTTGTTGCTTTTGTTTTTTGATGGGATACTTTCTTTCGTTTTCTTTTTCTTTTTTTCATTAATACTTTTAATGCAATCGATTAATCTCCACGTGATAACAAATGATAATATAATTTCAGGTGATAAGCGCCTGTTCGCATTTAAGTTTTTTCGTTCGATTTTCTTTTTATACTAAAAAAGAAAAAAAGTGAGAGGTAAAAAACTGGAAATTTATTTATTCCGGTTCAAATCAAAATAACAAATTAGTAAAAATACGCAAGTAAATACACTGTTCAATGTTATAGACAAAATTTAAAATTGAAATTGGAAATATTTGGTGAATAATTCAACTTAATTTTAATAATATATATTAATTGATGAAAGATGTGATAATTTATTAATTAATAATAATCTTTGTTTTTGAAACTATTTAACTTTTAATATATTGAATAAACAAATTATGTTTTCAATATTAATTATTACAGCAAGAAAAAAAGATAAATGCATCGATTCAAATTATTTTGTCCTGTTAAAATTGTTTGAAATTTCAATTTTCCCATCATCATATTTCATTTCATTGCCAATATTACATACATTAATTTGCTTTAATTTAATTTAATTATAAATAATGAGAATAGAAAACATAGTGTTAATTAGTTCATCAAGCTATCCTTTCATGTATGATCAAATTAAATGATAAAAATTAATTCATAATGTAATCAGAATATGATTTCACAGTGAAGCGCAATCAGCCAAGCAATATTTGTTGGTAAATGTTTGTTCGTTTAAAATAGTAAGGAAAAAAAGAAAGAAGAAGAAGAAAAAAAAAAGGGAGCAAATCAACTCGATTTTATAATTTATATGTAAAAAATTTTTTAAATTTTACAAATTTCTCATATTCCACTTTTTTTTTCCCTCTCACTGTTTTTTTTTTTTTTTTTCAAACCAAAAATGACAGGTAGAAGAGAGAGAGAAGAAATTGAGAAGGGAAGATGATCAACGTAGATGGATGAATAAATAGTACCGAGGAAGTGTAACAGGTGGGGGAGGGGAATATGGGGGAGGGGAGAAGAGGGGGGAAAGCACACTACCGTTGTCGATTCTCACCGTGCAATCGCTATCAATATATATCAGTCCGGGAATGATTAGTGGTAGAGAATGTCATTCCAAGCATTCTTCGAAGTGTTGCACCTAAATCTACCGATAAAAAGAGCAAAATCGTTTTGTTTTTCCTCATTTATAGCGCCTATTCAACCCTTTTCTCCCCTATTTAAAATATCATTTAAGTTTTAATCATTTAAAAATATATCAGTTTACTTTTGCTTTAACTGATAACCAGAAGAAATCAAATAGTAATAATTATCATTGTTTATATAAATCTTTTTCAGTTTTTTTTTATGCAGTAAATTTATTGTATTATTTAAAAAATAAATAAGATTATTGTATTATTTAAATATAAACTTTTTTGTTATTTAAACTTTTATATTTATTTAAAAATGGAAATAGTAACAAACAAAATATGTTTATTATAATTGGTCAAAACATTCATAATAAAGGAATATTTAATTATGATAATAATGACAAATAATTTATTAAGGCTTAAATTTTTATTAATAATCATTCGTACAGGAACATTTCTAAAAATTTTGGTGTTAAATAGTTTACGATTAAAATAATATTGTAAAGGATTGTCTCTGTTTTTTTTCTCATTATTTTTCTTAGATTTAATTATGATTTAAATTTATCATTTTACTAGTACAATTAAAAAAAAAACAATTTAATGTAAAAATATTTGATAAGTTGTGTAAACAAGTTTCTATATATGTATCTTTCTTTCCCCAATCAATCAAACAAGTTATCAATCGATCAATCAATCAATCAATCAATCAGTCAATTAATTAGCATTCACACTTCATAGTTCATCGTATGATAACTTTGACATAACATAGTGATAACATAACAGTCAATATTTATCATAAGCACTAAAATTGCCCTAGTTTTGATAATTATTGCTGTGAGTGGCATTAATTGATCATTGTGATAATTGACATGATAAGTGAATGTCCGTATTAATACATATTTGTGGATCATTTTGTAGTAAAGTCGTACAATGTACAAAGTTTAAATTTATAAAAAATAACATTTATTAATGAAATTATTAGCTAACTGATAAAAATTGTTGATTTAAGCATATCTAAATAATAAAAAATTTAATTTAGGTATAATATGTGTAAGTATAAATGAAAATAATATATTTATCTGTATAGAAAAACATATTAAAAAAAAGCATACGTTGACATGTAAATGCACATATTAATAATAATATTTGAAACATTTTATATTGTCATTAAAGTATAGTGGCAAAATTATGTATGAAATATGCCAAACAGTTATTTTCATCAATTGATGCACCTTTTCCATTGTATACCTTTTATCTATAATTATGTTATTTTGAAATATTAGTATTGCTTTATGAATTTGATCTTTTGAACTTTTTCTTCCTTTCTTTCCTTCTTTTTCTTCATCTTCGCTTAAATTTCTTTGAATTTAATCCATTTATTTAAAAAAAAAGAAGAAATTATTATTTAAAGCTTCATTAGATATATATCTATTTATGTATTTCACTCTAATTTTGCTTCCTAAACCTTTTTTTTTTTTTCAATTCATTTATTTTCGGAAAGGAAAACCAGGACATATTAATACTAATTAGTTTGTATGATATGGTTGAATGCTTGAATAAAAATAAAATGAGTTCAACGGTTACATATTATGTCATAGTATTATTATTATTTCTTTTTTTTTGCTTCTTTTAAAGGTCGTTCTCATTTCAGTAATGTTGATAATAATGACAGGATAATATTCATTAATTTCTTCTTCTTTTAGCATCTATTCAAATATGACTTTTTTTTTCCTTTTAAAATAATCATTATCATTTTAATAATTGTTTGTTTACTTCGTTCTTTAAGTAATATTACAATCTTTATTGTGCCAATAACTTTATTAGAATAAATTTGCATATGAATATATACGATTATGCTAAAAAAACAATCATTTTGTTTTAATCAATCCACTCTGGCAAAAAAAAAAAGAAAAAAATCCAAAGTTAAGAAGAGAAGATAATAATAAAAGCATAATTAATTAAGTAATATCAAATAGTCAGAGAAATATGCCATCATTATTTGTAGTACTATTTAATATTATCACTATATTCTCTCTTCAAAGATAAAAAGAAGAAAGAAATAATAATTATGATTAGTAAAAACAAATTTTTTTTTTCTAAATTAACATAATTATCTTTAATCATTGCTTCTTTTCATTAAACACTATTTTTTTTTTTCTTCACATTTATTATAAAAAAATTTATTAACTATTAATTATAACATAATAAGAGGAGAAAAAGAAAAAGAAAGGAAATCTTTCAGGTAATTTATAAAAATAGAAAAGATATTTTAAATTGTTAATTTTAAAAATGAACAATTCATTGCTCTTCTCCTCTCAATCATATTGATACTACATACACATTCATAACACAGTCTTATCCTGTTCCGCATTTTTATCCATGTTAATATCACGGAATAACAGAAAAACAGATACAGTATAGTTTAGAAATGGGTGAAAAAAGGAGGAAGGGAGGAAAATTAGAAGAAAAAAAGGAAAGAGAGGAAGAAAGAGAGAGAGAGAGAGAGAGAGAGAGGGGGAGAGAGGGAAAGATGAAATTGTGTATGAGTAGGCCGAATCGGAAGTAAAAAGAGGAAAGAGAAGTGGAAGAAGTGGAATGATTATTGTGAAAACGACATGGTGAAGAACGATGGCACGAAGACTACAAACGTTCAAATACTTCAAATTTGCAAATTCCAGTTTTGCAACGACAATCAAGGCCTGCATTCCATTCAGCTCTTTCTCTCGCTCTCTCTCTCTCCCTCTCCCTCCCTCTCTCCCTTAGTTTTCTCCGCAAAATGCCGAAATGTCATCCAACCAATCTATCTATCTATTCATTCATTCATTAATTCATTCATTTATACTTTTACTCATTCATGGCATCAAACCATTTATGGTGTCAACATTTCCTGGAAGAGAGAGAGAGGAAGAGAGGAATGATTTGATCTTTTAGTTTCCGATAAAGTTTCAAGCAATATCCGCTTGAGCTTAACTTTTCATTTATTTATCTGACGGAAATAATATTATATTTGTGATAATTGTCAACGGTAAATTTGTAATTCCTCATTTCCTCTTACTTCGTTCTGTTGACCTTTATTATTCCTGATTTTTTTTTTTTCTCCTTTTTTCAAGGTCTCCCTATTATCATCAAGCATGAACCTCAAATATCATCTCTATTATTCTCATAGTTTCCTCTTCATTCTACTTTTATTCCAAACTTTTATCCATTTTACTTCAAACAAACTATCATCTTTTTACATCAATTTTCATTTTTCATTCAGTCATCATATCGCACATTCCATTCATTCAACTTTTGTAAATTTTCTTTAATCTTATCCTAATTTATATATATATATATATATACATTTTTTTTTTAATTTCCTTTTTTTTTCGATCTTTCAGCCATCTTTTTTTTTTCTTTTTCTTTATTGTAAGTTTGAAACATTGTTGAACAAAGACCAGAATAGCGGCACAATTTTTTAAATTTTTAAAATGTTTTATTCATCAGGAAAATTGGTAAAAAGTGCAACATGAAATATAAGTAATTTTGAAAAATTAAAACTCTTCAACTTTTCAAACTAACCAGTTATTTGTTTATTATTTGCTATGTTAATGATAAAAATTTACTCCCTAATTGTAATGCGAAAAATCAAGAAGTAAACTATATAACCATCAAAAACTTATTTACTTGATGCTTTTTCTGTTTTTGCGACTGACTATAGTTTACTGTCAATTATTTTATTTAATTTAATCATTAAACTTACTACTTTATCTTTATTCATTCATTACTGATATATTATAATCAAATCAATTTAATAGAATGATTTCATTGACAAAAATCACTTACATACTTCCATTTCTATTGCTACTATCATTTCCATTTTTTTTTTTTTTTTTCTTTTTTTGCAACACTATATTTCAGCAAATACTTTTGTTATTGATAGAAATGGATCATTCGTATAACAAAATTTGGAAATTTAACTTCAATCGTATATAAATTATACACAAAAGCACAAAATAGTTGATATGATCATTTCATCAATACAAGCATTGCTTCTTTATTTTTATTTTTTTATCTTTTTTCCATAAATAATAGTTATATTAGATGTAAGTAAATGTGAAAAATTCATTTTGATTTCTACAATTTGAAAATTTTCTGTTTTTTTTTTTTTTTCTGTAAAAAAAAAAAAAAAGAAGAAAGAAAGATTATAACAATACGAAGAAAAGCATTCATTATTATACAATCACTCTATACCAAGCATTTTGTAAAGACATTTTTGCATGAATATAACAATATCTGATGTCTGAAAATATTATTGAAATTAGAGTTTAAAAACTTCTAAAATAGCTTTGAATGTGCATTACTAATGAAATAATATTTTAAATTAAAAAAATTTCTTTTCTAAAAAAACTTTTTTTTTTGCTTTTAGGAATTTGTTAGAAACGAAAAAAAAAAAGAAAAAGAAAAGAAAGGAATAGTTTAAATTACCAAATGCAATGTACAGTTGTCCAATGACCCAACCACCGACATTATCAATTAATCTACCGTTAGGTAATCTAACAATACCTGTTCGTATATCACCATCTTATATACCATCAACAATTATATCACCACCAGTAACTAGCACTGTTACTTCATCATCCATTGTGCCACCACCACCATATCATACGATAAACATAAATAGCATACCATGTGATGCGGATATTGATGTTGTTGGAATTACCGATGTAGCACGTGATGTACACCTTGATGATGATGATGAAGAAGAGCAATATGATAAGGTTAATATATAAACTTTTAAAATTTCATTTCTTTAAAAAATTAAAAAAAAATTGTTGAGATTTTACGAAATTAAAAAAAAAAAGGAAAAGTATTAATTTTAGCCATTGGATTTATCGCTTAAAAAACGTGAAATGCGCTGTTTACCATCATGCTCATCCATTTTGAAATCACAACCTCGGCCAACCGTTATACGAAATGGTTATGGTATATTTTATTTTTTAGAAAGAGAGAGAGAGAATTGAAGAGAGGATAAAAAGATGAGAATTAAAATTCTAAATTTAACATCAACAATTGCTTTTTTTTTTCTCAATGAAATCAATTAATTAATTGATAGATGCAAATATTGTAGCGAAAAGGAAAAATTTTTGTTTTATTATCAAATTACCATTAGTGCAAAATTTTTGCAAGTACTTTTTTTTTTTTTTCATGAATTTATTGCATCCTTAAAAAGAAAACAAAAGAAAGAAAAAATTATTTTATATTCAAAGAAGAAAAAAATTTTTGATAATTGTTACTATTATTAATTATTATTATCATTGGTATTGTTATTATTATTATCACTATTATTAATTATTATCATCATTATCATTATAGATAGGTGAACAGATGAATTTATGGAAATAGCTTATTTCTGTTTTCTCTTTTTTTCCATCCGATAAGCATACTTTGACAAATTTTATTTTTTAATGCATCTTTTTGCTAAACTTTTGCCACTCAAATTTTTAAAATAACGAAAAAAGAAATTTATTAGAGAATCGAAAAATACCTCTGTTATAAATAATTATGTTTCATGAGACAAATAATCGCCTTTTTTTAACAAAAATTTCCTTTCATTAAGTTTATCCTTCATACATACCCCTTTCTCCCTTTTTTCCCACTTTATATTATCCTCTTATCACATTCTTTTGCATTTTTTCTCCTATTATCTCCTCCATAGTAATTTTTTTTTTTTTTAAAAAAAAAAGTAATTAATTAATAGAGGAGAGAAAAAAAAATCCTCTTATATTAATGAATGAAAGGCATTATATAACATTATCTATCGTTCCAAATCATTTATTTATTTTTTTTTTGTCCTTTTTTTTTAACCTTATAATGCAAGCATTGCTTGTTTTAATTATTCATATAAAAACCACAGGGTCCGTGAATTGTTTCCGAATGTATTATGCAATAATAGATCATTTCCGGTTACTAAAATTTTCTCACATGCTGACCAAATTACAATTTAGAGCAAGATAAGGTGAAAAATATTAAACATTACTTTCATTACACAATTTCATTCAGTCAAAAAAAGAAAAAAAAATTTTTTTGGAATATATGGCTGATACTTTTTATAATCATTATGTAAATGATAATTGATAAAAGATAGTATGAAATGGATAAAGAAGCATCTAAAAGGAAATTGAAATGATTAAATGAATCAATCATAGCTAAGATCAGATAAACTGGATCAATCAATAAATGAATAATAGAATATTATTGCAATATTTTAAGTTACAAATATATTTTACACTGAAACTTTACTTTGTTTCTTTTTGCTTTTTGCTTTTTTTTGTCTCTCAGATTTTACAAGTTGACAAAAATATTTTTGCATATGAAAACTTTGATTGGTATCGATGACAACTGGTATTAAGTGTAAGAAGGAATGTCGGAATATTCTTTTATGAAACAAAAAAAAGAAAAAACGAAAAACAAAAAAATTTTGCTGAAACATCAGATGATCGTGGTAGATGATAATGGTGATTGGTATTGTCGATGATGCCGATCGCATTCTTTTCCAATTTTTTGATTTTCCAATTTAAAAAAAAAAAGAAAAAAAAAGAAAAAGAAAAAATGGCATCAAGTAATTTTTTACATAATACAAAAAAAAGTTATGAAAATTTTCTTTCAGTTAGCTTTTTTTTTTTCAAACGTTTTCTTTTCAAAAAAGAAAGAGAAGAAACAAGTGAAAAAGAAAAGGAAAAAGAAATTACGACTTCAATTTAACACTTTCACTGAATAATCCAAAAAAAAAAAAAATTTTTTTTTTAAATTAACGAATGAAAAAATGATAGCTATACTTTGATATCAGAAATAACTAACATATCAATATAACAAAACAACATTGAACATTTACTGCCAATATATTATCATATTTTTGCATAATCTAACTTTTTATAGATTACTTATAAAATAATGAAAACTTAGTAGAGAAATGTGAATTCTCGAAATATTTCAAATTCATTTCTCAGTAAAAAATATGGATTTTTTAAAAAAATCTTTTCATGCATAGCTTTTTTCTTTTGTATATTTTATGTACATAAATATTTCCGTAGTTTAAAATGTTAGCAGAAGCGAAAATTTTGTTAACATATGGGAAAAACAAAAAAAACAAAAAGCAAAAAAAAAAAAAAAATAAGTAAATGAGATATTAAAACAAAATTAATTGAACAAGAGTTTCTGACGTTTTTTTTTGCTATTTTTTTATCTTTAAGCCATTTTGTTTGCTTGAATGAAATGAAAATATTATCATTAGTAATAAATTTATTTGGAATATCAAAAAATTTCAATATTAAAATTTGAAAAAAACAGGAAAAATTTTTAATTTGTCCACTAAAATGTACCTTCATTTTATTATTTTTTTATTAATCTGAAAATATTCAACAATTATGAATGATTATTGTTAAAATTTCAACTTTGCTGTAATTTCTAAAAATTCTTATTGTATTTTTAGTACGACGTAATGTTGATATGCGTCGATCAGCTTCCTCAGTAACATCACGACCCACTCCTGAACCAGATGTTTCGGAACATTTCCGGCGATCGCTTAGTGGTAAATGGCCAAGACGGCAAACAAATTATGTTCATTACACACCACCGGTTCAAACTGATGTTGACAAAAAAATTTCCGGTGATAATTTAATCTGTATAAATTATGATCCATATGTAATCCATTCAACAATTTATTTTAATCATTAACAAAAATTACAAATATGTGCACAATTAGCCACATTAGATATATCTAAATTTTCAGGATCACTACTACACCGTAAAAGCAATCAAACAACCGGTTTACGAAGCACTCTATCATGTAGCGTAAGCTCACCACAACAAATTGTTGTGAATAATTCCGGAATTGAAAGTGAGCAATTGAGGTTTTTTTTCATTCAAATTAGGAAAATTTAAATAAAGCAAATCTGAGAAAACCAAAGTAAAATGAAAAAATTTTTTGTTACTGCAATTAAAAAATAGTGATTTTATCTGTATGCAATATCATTTGATTATTCTAAACAAATGTCATAATTCTTTTAACAGAAAAATAAACAACAAATGCTTTTTACTATTTGAAAAAAGAAATTATTTTATTTTTTTTTATTTCTTCTAATTTATCTTTTTTGTCTTTCATAAAATGCATGGAACGTGCATTTTAAAATTAAAAATTGGATTATGGAATATCTTTAATATAGATATTTAATATAATTTAATGGTAAGAAAAAGTTAAATATTATTATTATTGCAATGAAATTGACTGATATTATTCCACCTACTATCACTGATCAAGGTTGATAAACCAGTAAAGGATTGTTAAAGAGAGCTTAAATATTTTATCACTTATTATCTTTCTATTATTTTTTTAAAACTCTGTTATGACTTTCAGCTAATTTTTTTTTCTGATGAAATAATCAAGTATAAGTAACGAATTTTGAGTAATAAAATATATCTATATGAAATTTCAATAATTAAATTCCTTTTTCCTTTTTCAGTAGAAGATCACTTTCGAAAAGCACTTGGAGCAGAGACTTACGAACTTCTTCGTGGAAATCGCTAAAATTCATCTATTACACATTATTTATTACTTGCATTCGATTCTTTTCTCATTCATATTTATTCGTCCAACCATTATTAATGATTAAAGGCATTATTTTTTTCATTTCAAAAAAATAAAAAAATTATTGTAACTTGTAATAATTGATGAAAAGTTATGTTAAAATTGTTTACTTTAATTTGTAGTTAATTTAAATAGTGTAATTTAAATTGTATCAACATTCATTTAGATTAAAATTGATCGAATAAATGATTGTACCTTTTTTTTTTTTTTTTTTATAATCACTAATAATAACATATTTTCACTCATTTTTTCAACGATAACTTTTTTTTCTCGTTTTTGTTGAAATAATTAAAATGAAAATCTCTGATGAATAATTCACAAATCATTAAGCATTAAATGATATAATATATTCTTCTCCAATTCATATAAAATTGATTTCACATAGCAATGTAATCAAACATTTAACCAAATTTTTGTTTTTTCCTTTTTTTTTTTTAAACTTACCACATTTCATTTTTTTTATTTTCTCATTCATATTTAAAAATTATCAGAGATTTATTTGATAATTTTAACATATCACAGTCTTTTTCTAACTTAATACAGTTATCATAATAGCTATATACATACATACACATATGCATTCATTCATTTTTTGGTTATATTGTTGTAAACAATTTAAGCTCTATATTTTAAAATATATATTCATTTGATGCTTCTGGAACAGTATCAAAAATATAATAATTGATCAGTATGATGCTGACAATTTCAATATAATTTCATTGTTTCTTAATGTCAATTATTGATAATATATCATTATTTCATTTAGCAATTATTGATTAGTCATAGTTCCGGAATGATCATCATTTCTATGTATCATTTTAATTAATTGTAATCTAATATTTATTTATTTTCACATATTAAACACATGTTTATCTTATTTCCTATCTTTTTTCAAACAATATAATTCAATTTATGAAATATTTGATGAAAATGGTAAAATTTCAGCAATGTGTAGAGCGACAGCTATTTGAGCATGTTTTTAGCGATTGCTAAGACAGAAAAGAACAAAACAAAACAAAATAAAAAACAAAAAAAGTGTGTCATGCTGTGTCTGTTTATTGAAAGGACCAAAATTAGGATCTTTGAACTGTTGAAGTTGATCACTGACCAAAATTGCCTTTATGTTTTGCTCTGTATATAAAACATTCTTAATTACAAAAAATTTTTTCACTGAATAAATTATTTATTATCATTATATTTAAATCCATAAACAGATACTACAATAAATCTTTACAAATCTGTTTATTTTCTCTTTTATAAAACATTATTTTTCAAAATATGAGATTTTCTACAGAAAGAAAAATGAAATTAAATTTTATTACAATCAAATTTACTATTGATTTGATAAAAATAATGCAACTGAAGCAATAATCCATTTGTCCGGATTTTTAGTACATGGCATTTGAACTTTAGCAATTAACTGATTTCGTTCAGGTGTTGCGTAAAGTGGTACAAATATTGATTTATCTTTTTCATACACATCCGAAGCATCCTGAAAATATTTTTCAAATCTACATTTCCAGAAAAAAAAAAACTTGTTCCTTCATTTTCACTCATTTGAATGTTGCTTTTGCATCGCTTCATACTTACCGCAGATATCCAAGCAATGTAAAGATTTGGAGCTGTTGCAACAGTTGGTGATGTCTGTTTTATTTCAACGATATGATCTTCAAATAAAGCTCCCTGAATGTGAATTCCGGATATTTCCATTACATTTTCATTCTTCAGAAATGCACCATTCCATGCAGTACCTAATTTTAATTCATCCATAGATATATGTTTTTTCCTGAAACTAAGTATACTTTGTTAAATCACAAGTAGGAAGAATAAATTTGAAACTGTCGTGTTAAGAAGTAAAAATTTCGAATTCAAAATTAAATTCAATTTAAAAATAATTATTTAGCACAACCTTGCAGTTAATTGCCGTAAAGCATTAAAGAATGCAGTAGGTCGAAAAATATTGCCAAGTTTGATTGGATTAGCTAATATTTTATAGCTATCATTGATATGTGATAATTGTTCGATTGATTTAGCTTTATGTATTAAAAGTGATAAATATTGAGCTGGATCCGATGGACCTCTCCATGCTTCTTGCCACTCTTCTGGTGTCTATAAATAAATGTAAACAAAATGAAAAGTGTCCTAAGGAAGATTTTATTGACGAATACATCAATAATAAATAAAACTCTTTGTTTTTTTTATAAAAACGAAAAGTAAACTTGATGCATCATTAATGCTCGTGCACCATTAGCAATTTCTGATGTGAATAATTGTATGCCACGTAAACATTTACTTATTGCACCAAGGTATTTATGCACTTTTTGAACCTAAAAATTTTTACATTTCAATTTCATTGCATATTATTAAAATTCAAGTTTATTTCTCTTTTTTCAATATATCAAAAATTATTACATATAATGTGTACCAATGTTATTGCATGAACATATTCCAGAGAAATAATTTCGAGAATGAGATCATCAGTATGTTGTATCAATGGTACATTCATGGAGTGTAATGTTGATTGAGAATTGAGCTGCTTCCAAAGTGTTATAATTGGATTCAAAGCTTTATTCCATACATTCCTGAAAAACTTTCACTTTATTTTAATTCATTTCATATCATTAATTTGCATTGCTAATTTGCTCAAAATTGTCATAACACTATGTATTATATCCATGCAATTTTCATCTTACATCCGATAATTGCTAGCTCATTTGATCGTTTAAATTACATTCATTATGTATTCATGAATGCCATTTAAAGTGATCAGAATTGTTGATAAATCATTTAACAAACATTTTTCGAAATCATTCAGAAAAAAAAAGTAACATGTTTTTTTTTTTCTCGCTTGACCAATATATTTGTTATAAACAATTGGTTGAGCATTGCTATTAAAACAAGAAATAACACCTCTCAAATGTAACTTCGGTAGCCACAGAAATTTGCATGCTACGTATTTGCAGAATTGTTTTATTCATTTCCGCCATTTCACGCGCAGTACTTATATTTGAGGATAAACCAAATAATGCCGGATTGTCTCCCTCAGGTATATTTGTATTAATGATGTTAATATAATCCTGTTAATTAAGCCATAATAAATTCCTTTCTTTTGGCTCCTTATTGTAAATTCTATTAATTAAAAGTGAAAAAAGAACAATTTCGAAAGTTATTGGAGAAATATTTAAAAAATCACTCTACTATAGATGTAATATACTGAAAAATATACCATAATATTGGTTGAAAATGGGACAGTAATGTTATGAGCAATTTCAGAAGCATTCATGCCAATAATGGATGAATTGAAATAGCGTTTCAAATAAACAACTAAAACATTCATATCAAAATCATTGTCAATACGTCCGCCATACGCAACTGTTTGTATAAGACCACGTAATAATTGCCAATTAGCAGCTGAAAAGGTAAATTTTATTTTGAAATGTAGGAAAAATAACTGATTTAAAATCATAATTATTCGATGATTTGATATGTTACTATGATTTCTTCCGAATAAAACTAGAAAGTAACAAAATATAGTGACTTCCATAAAGCAAATCATAAAATCAATCAATAAATCTATTGAGAAAAAAAAAACATTTCAAATACTTGACTACCCCCCCCCCCACCCAAATAACCTGAATAATTACCTCATTACTTAATGATTTTGCTAAAGGTTTTGATAGGTGTTATTAGTGTTATTCTTTAGAAAATAGGCTAACTCTAATGACGATTAAAGTCACATATATTTTCAAGCATTACCAAATCGTTCAAAAAACTGGAATCAAAAAAAAAAATTTTACACCTTTGTCATCTTTTGTAACTTCTTCAACAAACTTCTTGGCTACTCGTAGATCGCTGTTACTAAATTCATAAAATTTCGACCAAGCCTAAAATCGTTATTTCGTTTATGGAAGTTAACCGCTGATCAACATGCTGTCTATTGTTTTGCTGTCATAATATGACTGAAATAAAATTTAAATAGAAATTCATTCTCACTCATCTTTAATGAATCTAGTAATTAACATACAATCAGTTCTTAATGCAAGAAATCTTAATTATAAACTTGGAAAATAAATAATAATTCATCATTCTATATTTTTTGATACTGTGCAGATAAAAATTGCAATAAATTTAGTTTAAATTTAGCCAAAAAAAATTAGCTATTACAACTTAATTACACCTGTTACAAACATTATTTAATGGCTTAACAAAATTGAAAAAAAGCAGATATTTTCTAATTATCTAACAGATGAAGCACTCTTTCAGTCAATTTTTTTTTTTTTTGAATAAAAGAAAAAAAGAGAAAAAGTTCTTCATTTTTATTACAATTTTAACAAAACTTCACGAATTCCGATGGAAAACCATACCTCAGGTATGAACATTTGTCGCTCCTGTAGAAGTGCATGTAACCAAGCTAACATAAATAAACTTTGCAAACAAAAAGCACTAAAATTGAGCTCAGATTGTTGCCATTGAGCATAAATCCTTTTCATATTATTCTTAATTCCAGGTGGTGCTTCGTAAACAATTTTCAATGAAGTTTGCAGTAGCTGCGGTGAAAAATGTTCATTTGATTCAGATGTTAACCATAGACGAAAATTAGGATCATGTTTTGATGCTAAAAATTCCTGAAATTAACTTATTGTAACAATTTATTAATTTTTTTCTTGTTTTTCTTGAGGATGAAAAAACAAATTGATTTTTGAAATTTGGTGAAAGTAAAAAAGGAAAAAAAAAAAAACATAATATGCTAATAGGTTAAAATTTTTTCAGTTGTTACAAATTTATAAAATTATAAATTTTATTTGATACCTTTTCGATTGCCGCTAAATCATTGATGGCAAGATGTAAATTTTTCAAGCATACCCAACCACCATTTGTCGCACATGTTCGAATTGCTTCAAGAGCAGCTTGTCGTTGTCCTTGACCCATCGAAATTTGATAGAATTTCGCACTTGATATTTGTTTTCGAGCTAATTCTTCCAGTTCCTTCAATAGTAACTTCTTCAGCGTAAATTTATTACCATTTACCAAAAAAAAAAAAATAAGCTGCTATTACTCGAATTTGAAATTCATTATGAAGTACTAAAATTACACAAAGATTATAGAAAATTCTAACATATTAATTTATTTTGACTTTACTTTAAAATTCAAAGTTCAGCCGTAAAAAATATTGAAGTCATTGTATCACAGAAATTTAGCTCGATGATTGATTACATACTAGCTTAGTAAAAATTTTTGTATATAGTACAAAGACAACAGTGAAATAGATTTCAATTTTCGGCCACAAAAATGGTTGAAATTTAACTAATAGCATTGCAACTTTTTTTTCGCTGTATTTTTAAGACAAAAATTTAGAATATATCAAGAATACTTGTGAAGGATCTGCACCGGGACTAATCAATATCATGATCGGCTCATTTTCATTGCTTTCTGACTTATAGATCGACTTCAAATCTAGTGGTGATGGATTGATTGATGGAATTCCTGAAATTCCAGCTAAAAAATTTTGGCAATGCTAAATCCAGATAATTAGCATACAAATGGATTAATACCAGACCTAATATATTAGTAACAAAGCTAATCATAGTTGAATAAAGTCTCTCTGGTCGAATAGCCTGAATAACAAGTAATTTCTGAAATGCTGTTAAAACTGCATCGATAGCAGGTGGAAATGCTGTTTCGCAGTTTATCGTGCGAGCAAATTCACTCCACAATGCTTGATCCGTAAAGCGAAGATTGTTAAATAATGTCGGCAAATATTTCTGCAAAATTTTCTAAAATTTCAAAATTCATAGTTCTATTAGAAAAAATTTTAACTCATTTAATAATTATAAATTTATGTATTTGACATAATCTTCATTATAGTAATTTAAACTTCTAAAAAAGTTACTTTAAATCAACCTGCAATTTAGCAACATTTGCTTTTCGTTCACTACTGATCCAGCCAATCTCTTCTACGGAATAAGCGGTGGTATCATCAACAATTAAACCAGTAAATAATTCCCATTCCTGAAAAAGAAAAATCTTAGTTTGACCTCATTAACTGCTAAACAACTGATATGATGATGAATTTTTGAAAGAGTTATCAATACAATATCAATTAGTTTAATTCACTTAAACAAAATTAAATTCATATTAAAATGAAATATTAACATTTTGCGCAAAAAGAGATGGTTGTATTCCATGAATAAATCGCATTGAAAACATTAAACGATCTTTTTTGAAAAGTGCGCGTGATACATATTCATAGACTGTGTGTTGCAGTAATCGTCGTAATTTTTCCATTCGTCCCACTGTACTTTCCTAAAATGTCAACTTAACATCAATGTAAAATTTACGAATTTTTATGTTTTCAATTTACTAAATTTTTACTATTAGATTTTGAAATGCATAATAATGAATACAAACGAAACAGAATCAAAATTTCATTGTTTTATAGTCTAACAAATATGAGTTGATATAATTGATAAAGCAGTTGTAGTTTTATGCATCTGGATAAGTTCATTGTGTCCAATCATTTTACTTCAGTGCATCTGGTAATCAGTTCATATTATCTACTATTCATTCTTATCAGTTAATCATTTTATTGGTTTAAAAAATTCCAATAAATTTTTTTTTTTTTTTGTTCATTTTTTCTATAGCAAAAACTTACTTTAATTTTGCTGAATGTACGATTGTATAGGTTTATTACAGTATTAAGGTTGAAGTTATACATAGGATCTTGTTTGTGTAAATCCTGAATAATAAAATATAAATTACTTGTAGCTTCTGCTAACGGTCGATATATATCTTTTTCCTGAAAGAAAAAGAATAATACTCCAATAAACATTACATATTTCAATTAATTAAGAACTGAAATTAGAATAATTCTTATTTTTGAAAGAAATGCAACAGATGCGACAAACTTTAACAAATTGTTTTTGCAATTTATCAGCTTCAGCTAGTGATGCTGCAATCGTTTCTGCATTTTCTTTGCTTTTATTTAAAGAATCCAATAAATCCGTATTATCCAATAAACTTCCTTCGGATGAAGCCAATGTCTTAAATATAATAGTCAAATCCAAAGAAAAAAAAATTTCTTTTTTAAAAATATGTTTGCAAAATAAAACGAAATAAAATGCTATGATGCAATGATTAAAGGTAAACTAATGTGGTATTTGAACTATATATGACAGATTAATGTTATAAATATTATTTTAGAAATATAATTAACTGTTCACAGTGTCATGATCTACGATAAAGGCTACTTTTCCAATGCAAAAATTATACATGAAAATAGGCATCCATATGTGTATTCAGAGAAAAAGCAACCAAATAAATTAATTAAATATGAATTTTTAATTTGTTTTTGCTAATTTTGTTCAATAATTTTTAATAATTTACTTGCAAAAGTGATTGTTCAATATCATCAAGTTTAATTTTCATTTGTTCCACATCACCAGTCAATTCATTCAAACGTGTTTCCAAAGCCGGTTTTTCGATTTGTATTGCCAATCCGAGCATCTAAGTGAATTAGCTAACATATATAAAAGAATCACAGAATAGTTGTACAAATAGAATCAAATTTCATTAGGATGACTAACTTTCAGATGATAATGAAGTATTTGAATTTATTTTTTTCACAAAAAATAAATTGATATTTTTTCAAAAAAAAAAAAAGTGTTGAACATAAACCTGAGATGCAAGACCAGTTTGTGTGATACTGAAACATATTAAAGTAACAGCTGCCTTAGATGCTTGATCCAATTGCAATAAATTATTCTTAGAACAGATATACAATCGAAAATTATCATTATAATCAACAGCTTTTTCACCAATTTGAACAATACGTCGTGGTCCTAAAAACAAAGAAAAAATTCTATTCTTGACTGCGTGGAAAATTTTAATTTTAATTTTTTTCATTTTAGATTTTTACCACCTGAAGCTTAATAAACGAAGGTGTATTACTCCATTATCTACTATCACCTAACTTTCTCAAAACACATTTTTATTGTGGAAGTAAGTAATCTTAGTAGATCTTTGCTGTAAAAAAAAAAAAAAAAAAAACTTTACTAAGAAAAAAAAAAAAATCTTAGCTACTAACACTTCAAATATCCGAAGATTTCTAAAAACTTCATCTCATATATTTTTTTTCAACAAGCTTCATTTGTCTTTTTCAATACGTTTAAAAATTTGTAACAAAACTGAACCTTGACTTGAAAAATCTTTTCGAAGAATATTCATGAGAGTAGGTTCAATTTTATTTACATCATCGATAAGCAACAATTTGCCAAAACGAACAGCAAGTTCAACCTAAACTAATATTATAAAGATGAAAATAAATACACTTGTCAGATTAAGAAATTTATTTCAAGAGACAATTTTATTTCCTTAACAATTAACCAACATTCAACTTCTTTTTTCATTTTTGATTTGTCAATAAACAAAATGTATACTACCTGAATAAGGAAGTTAGAATCATTTGCATTTACTTTTTCCACTTGTTTATCTTTCAAATGTTTCATAAGAAATGAGGATGCACGTCCGCTAGGATCGATGATTAGTGGTATTTCCGTAGTATTAAATAAGATCATAGCATTCTCCTGTGAAAGTGCATCAGTTGGAAGTCCTCTATTACTCCAATTCAACTAAAACAAACCATGGAAAATAAAATAAAATGAATTACAATAGTGAAGCAAATACTAACAAAATATTAATGTCGAGACAATTCTTGTATACTAAATCATCATTTTGCGCTTTTCTTTTTTTCCATTGAAATTGCATCTCATTTAAATAAACTAAGTATTAACAACTAATGTTGCTTTTTTTGAATGAGAGTTATGTCGAGAAAAATGCAACTTAAAATTTCACCAATAAATAACATACCTTCTCGGTTTCCATAACACAAAATTCAAGTGTACTGAAATTGTTCAAATTGAGAAGTCCCTTCCATTTGTTCAAAATTTCATTTCGAACTTGCTCTGATTCTGAACCGAGAAATGTTACAAAAGCAGCAGATAAAAGAGAACCTTTTTCCAGCTGCAAAGAAAAGCAAAAGTTGTTTTCCAAACTTCGAGCACAAAATACAAAACCAGTCTTTTAGGTTAAATTAGATTTAAAAAAAGAAAAGAAAAAAAAAATGTCAATTAGATTTAAAAGTGAACCTTTAAAAGAAAAAAAAAAAAACTCAAGAAAAAGAATTACACAATCAAGTTCATTTTGTAAATTGCCAATTTGCTCTTGCCATCTCTCATATTCGCCACTAAGTCGATCTATAAGAGTACCAGCAACATTAATCGTTTCCTGCAATTCCAAATTTAAAAATGATGAAAAAGCGCAAATATTCAGTGAAATGCGCCTTATAATGATGATTTAACATTCGCCGCCAAACCCAAAACCAAAATATTGATAGTTTCTGCTAAATTAGTTTTATTTCTTAGTTCATTGCATCTCATTTGTTTGTCTATAAATGGCTTTTCAAAAAAAAAAAAAAAAATCAGACAAGCTTACTTGCTGTTTATCTAAATTAATTTTTATTTGTGTTGCTTCCTTCATATGCATTTCGAAATTGTGCTTCAATTCAGCAACTCGTTCATCGACTGTTTCTAAACCTTTCGATAATTTTTCCATTTGCTTCTCGGCTTCATTTAAATTCCTACAGTTATTTTATAAGTTTTCAAATTCATTTCATTCTAATTCCTCTTCAACAAAAAAAATGCCAAATATTTTCCACAATTTATTGTTAAATTAAAAATTATCAAAAGTCAAAAAATCATCAAAAATCAAAGAAATTCGTTACATATCAACAGTTTCACTTTTTTTTTCACGTATTTCTTGTTGGATTATTAGTAATTTTTTTTAAAAAAAAAAATTATTAGTTATAACATTAAATCACTAATCAAATTTATACTTCATGCAAATGCATTTCCTGAATGATTGTACCTTTAAAAAAAAAAATGCTAACTTACTTAATCAAATCATTTTTCTCTTTTTGCAATGGAGTAACACGCTCCAAAATTGTCGAATAATCTAAATTTGCTCGAACCCATGCAGCTAATGGTGCAGCTGCTGCTGATGCACGTTTTGCATTCTGTGAATAATATTCATCAGAATCATGATAATAAATAAAACAACAATCACAATTAGCTTATAATAAAATAAATAATCTTTACATTAGCATTTTTCAAAAAACCAAAAATGAATAAAAGTTTCATTTAATTTATCAACTTAAATAGCTTAAATAATTAATTTGTTTTTTTGGAATTTTTTTACACATCCATCTTGCTATTAATGTTAACGTTATAAAGAAGAATGAATAATTTCTTAAACTTGTTTAATTTGTTTAGAGATGTCGTGAAAACTTCTAACCAATTTCATAATATCATAAATCATCGCTCCTTTTTAAATTGTAAACAATCTTACGGTTTCAAAAATCATCTCTTCATAAATTTGGCTTCTTAAGATTTATTACTTATGAATTTTATATAAAATTGAAATTAGCTTTCATTTTAATCTCTTTGTAACACTTCAAATTCTTCACACATGTGATTTTAATCTCTTATTTGTAAACACCTCCAATTCTTCACATACATGATTTCTATGTTGGACACGCCTAATCCTCACTCATATAAATTCAGTTCTAATAAACAAAAGGATTATGAGTTCTCTTTTTTATTGCTCGGTTTATTAAAAAATAAAGGTTTTTTAATCTTCCTAATGTATTGCAATTATACAAATATTAACCAGATAAACCTTTTACGACAAGAGAGAAAAGAAAAAAAATTCCACAAAAAATTTTCATAGAATACAAGAACAAAAATTTCCCTTTTTTGTTTAATATATACTCATTGCTATAAGTAAAAAATGAATAAGAGAAATTTTTTGAATTTTGAACTACAATATATAATAAACTTAATTTATAAAGTTAGGGATAGTTTTAATGAATTAGCCAAATCTTACTTTAACTAACATATTGTTTAACCTATCATATTGTAAAAAAAAAAAAAGAAAATTACTAAAATGTCAACAATAACCAACCTTTGGATCAAATGATGATTGCTTGCTTTTTATAAGAGCGGTAACTCTTTTGTTGACATCAGGTGAAATTCTTCGAGCATCAAAATTAATTATTTCATCTTTCACTCCATTTCTGGCCAAAAACCTATAATTAAGGTGGAATTAATTGACAAAACTTGAGAAATGTTGAGAAATGTCCAATTAAAAGCGACTCAAACAATCAATAAAAAGTAATTTAAGCAATTTTAGTTTAAAAAATAAAGAAAAACGAATTATTTACTTTCTCATAGCTTCCCAGGATGTGTCAAAAATACCCATAAATAATAATACAGCTTGTAAAATATCTCGGATTGCTTCCGGTGGAGCTCGTAAACTTCGGATTTCAGATAAGCTTTCCGATTTAATAGAACCAACTGCTTCACGTGCTTCACGTAATATAGGTTCTACCTGAAAAACGCAACCTATTCTTGATATACTTCATTACCTGTTATTAATTTATTTAGCTGAGCAAAATAAATTTTCTCAGTCAAAACTAAAGATAAAGCAGTTTTTCTTCTGCAAAAAAAATGAATACCTCACGTAATTGTTCATCAATTAAACTTTTCTGTTTCTCAATCCTTTCATTTTCTTTCGCTGTAGCCAATTTAAGCTGCTCCATATCAGATCGTTGATAATTTGCATTCTTAAAAATATTAAATTTAGTAAAAGCACCCGAAATGAAAAATAAAACAAAACAAAACAAAACTTTAGGAGACTTAAGTAATATTGGACTAAATTTGTTAAAAATTTTTGGACTAACTTTATTAAAAATAAGATTTTAAAAATTATAAAAAACAAAATTGAGTTATTTATTTTATACAGGCAGAACTGAATGTTCTAAACAAATTCTAAATAAACCGTCATGCTTTGTGATATTGCTTTCAGTGCCATATCTGCGTCACTTTGTTTTTCAGCCAATAATTTACTTTTTTTAGCAGCTTTTTTTTGCATATTGGAAACAGACTCTCGAGCTTCCGTTAATTTACCGATTCCGGCCTGGAAAATAATAATAAGAATAACAGTAATACGGTAGGTGTAGAAAAGAAATGCAATTTTGTTTAGTTTACTTTTTGTACAAAATTTAAAAATGAAATATAATTCCAAACCAATATTATTACATTTTGATTTCGTTTAGTCTTAAAAATACAAAAATTCAAAACTTTTAGTCTGTTAGATCGTGTTTCAATAGCAGTTCGTTTTTTATTCAAAATACAAGCATAGTTTTCGATAAATCGAATATATTTTGCTGGTGGTGCTATTTCCGATGGACACTGATGATAAATTTGTCCAAAAGCAATTAGTATGTCATTTGCTGCTTTGATGTTGTGCCGTGATAAAATTAATTCCGATAACTGGAATAATTCATAATCAGCAATGCAATTAAATTTTTCGATTTTTTTTTTCAGAAAATTCCTAGAAAGTTTTCTGGTAGTCAGTTATTGGTAATCAAATAATAAGTTTAATTAAGTATTCATAAGATAAAAATATCTTTCCAAACTAATTGCTTATGATAAACCAAACGTAATTCATTAAAAAATCATTAATGAATGGCACTCAAAATTTTCCCAAAATTTTGGCCAATATATTTAAGAAACTTTAATTATAAATAACCTGTGACAAAGCATTTTTATTCCATGTTTCATTCCAAATGATTGAACATTCTTTATATAACGATGGATTTGATGAGCATTTTAGTGAAAAATTAGTGTCATCAACATTTAAAATAAGAATAATATGCAAGTTTGCTTTTACTTCTAAAAAAAAAAAAAAAAAAAAAAAAAAAAGATTCCTAAATACACTACCTATTAACGATAATAATCACTTCAAGAAACTTTTTTTTTGACTTGATCTAATTGGTTTTAACGTCTAGAAGAGTAATTTCAAGATGAAGTACGTGTTATTACACCTGCATATGTTGTTGACAATCAATAAAATTATTTTTATTTCTTATTCACTAAATTTTCGTCGATAATAATACATCGTTGTCCCTCAAAAATCTAAAATTTAGCAAAAAAAATAAGTAAACAAAAATAAAGGATAATAATAAGAAAGAAAAGAAAAACAGGAAAACTTACTCATAACAAAATAAGAATACAAGTCACCCTGGAATGCATCTTGCGAAGCTTGTTCACGTAAGCTTACCAAAAAGCTATCAAATTCCTGAGTAGTAAATATTCCAGGAATATCACCAGATGATAATAATGAATTTATTGATTGCAGAAATGCATCATGCAGTAGCTGATAATCTTCAATAATGTAAACAATATGTTTTCCATTTATTGCTACATCCTGGATAACCTGCAAAATGTTTGAAATTCCTAAAGGTAACTTAGATTATGAATGTGATAATCGCTCAAATCAGGTATCAATCGATTAAAGATAGGACGAGACAGAATAAAGTATGTTTATTTCACATGAACTGAAATTACATACCGTTTTCAAATCATTTCTAAACTGTTTGATTCCATAAGATGATGTCAACTTTGGCGAGAACACAGGCATTTGATGCATATTTGCAACAAGCGATGCAGCTTCACGTCTTCCCATGCCAGCTCTTCCAGCTAACAATAATGAACCACCTGAAAATTCAGAAAATCAGTTAACAATTAGATGCACTATCTTATCGTCAAAAAAAAAATGAATTTATAATTTATATGAAATTTTTTTCTGAAAAAAAAAAAAAAAAAAAAAAAAAACGCTTAAATTCAAGCTTTGGTTATGCAAAGAAATTGAAGAATGAAAATGAAACATATCGGGTGTTGTGATTACTCGATCAATTTGAGAGCATAATTTGACAAATTCATCAAAAATTGGCATTTTAAAATTTGCAATTTCGAATTCTGAAAATCAACACAATTAAGGATTGAAAATATAAGTAATACTTAACAAGCTGTTTTAAATAATTAGTATAACTTGTAATTTCAGTAAAGTACTGTAGCTATCAGTCATCAGTAGCGCATAATGATTTTCAACAAATGTGATAAGATGAGAACATATATGATAATATGAAATATACCGTATCGATTAACTGCTTGTTGTAAAAGTTTAGCGTACTCTTTACGTGGTACCATCGATAATGGTGTACCTTTCAACATGGTTATTGCGAGAGCTCCTCGAGCTGATACGTATAAGTTATCTAAAAAGATAAATTCTTCTCTCTATTATCGAATCGAGAAATTATGTTTGAGCATTTCGTATAATTTGTTTATTGTTTGTATAGTTTATTGCACAAATAAAGAAGTAATTTTACTTTAAAAATATAAAAAATTATACTTTCAAATTAAAAAAAAAAAAAAAAAAAAGAAGCTAACTACCAAAACCAAAGACTAATTTTCAAATAATTTCAAGAATTCGAAAAATTAAAGATAAATTTCACCTTCATCACTGTGTACTGTAGCTGACGATAAATTATTCCTAATAATATCTTCGAATCTATAAAATTAACATAGATTTATTGTCAAACATTTTTCATTCAACATTAATTATACTTCAATAACATAAAAACTTTACTCTAACCTTAATAACATGCAAACTGCAAATAATTTGCAAAAATGACAAAGATACAACAAAACTTTCATATAAATATTCTCTCCCATATAGATTACCTTCATAATATTTCTTACTGAGAAATACCTATTGTACTACTTACCTAACTATTTGAAGTAATATTATCTGATTATTTTGAATTTCCTCAAGAAAAAAAAAAAAGTATTTACCTTTGTTTATGTTCATCATTCACCAAACGATCTTTGAAAATTCGTCGACATTCATATAACATTGAGCACAAAAATTTTTCACCAGCATTAGTACCTGATTATATAAAGATAATTTATATTTGTTTACTTTTCATGATTATGTAATCACTATTTTATCATTTTCAAAAGAACAAAGATTATCACATGCAGTGAGCAATTAGATAAAACAAAAAATAAAGAAGTTGAAAGATCCAAAAACAATGATACCGGCTAATAGCGTTAAATTTTCATATTTCATCTATATTAAATTTTCGACACTGTCTATATATATATTAAAATTTTCAAAATCTATATATATTATCTATATATATTATTAAAATCTATATATTAAAATTTTCGATATGTTAAATTTTCATATATCGATACTGTCATCTAATATTTTTTGTAGCATTTATAATTATAGGAAAAACTAATTCTATTAGTTATAATGACACTTACTGTCAACGATAATGCAAAAGAATCGTTACTGATGATTAAATTACCAAATAACAGTTAATTCTTGTTTAACAACAAAATTTTACCCAACTACTTGCTAGAATATGAGAATTTCTAGAAGTTGAAATCTTTTCCACTTAATATAAAATAATAACCCCTATATATATAATAAACTTATACTATTTATATAACAAAATGCAAAAAACAAGCAGATTATAACAGAAAAAGTGAATTATAATAAATAATAAAATTACACTAAATACCAAAATAAAAAAAAAGAAATAAAATCATACGAAATCCCATCGGACTAAAAATTATTCATTGAAATCATTAATTTAATACTCATTTCCCATACAAGCTAAGCTTATCTGCATTGTTTGTTAGGAACGAAAATGCATTGGAATTTGTCCCTAATTAGATTGTTTACAATTATCAGTTCCTTTTATTTAGTTGACCTCTTTTATTGTTTGTTGCTTCCTTACTAATTGTAAATTATATTAGAAATTGAAAAGGTTAATAGCACTTCGTTTAGCTCTTTTGACCTCCTTTGCGGGATTATAAATCACTGTTATGAGTTAAAGCTTACTACATAAGAGTTATAATCTTTATTGAGGTTAAGTTCTCTGAATAAAACTAATTCCTCACACTTTCTGATATTGTTTAGCAATTGCAATCAACGATAATTTTTATCTCAATAAAATAAAAATTGATCAAACATCGTCTTCTCTACAAAGCAACAACTATTCGGCTCTCTAATCTACTTGAATCAGACCTCATTTCATTTACTGGCACTCATATTATCATATTCACATTATCAGTGTGAAACAAAATGTGAAAAAATACCAGTAATATCGTATCTTGTAAGAGAAAATACCCAATTTGATAAATCTTTTAGCGTGAACACATAATGTGTTTTATCGGTTGACTTGAATGAATTTCGTATGTCATTAAACAAATGCACCATAATACTTGCTAAATCATTTAATCGATACCTTAATGGTTCAGCTGAATCCTGAAATATTTTTAATGAGAAAAATTTCATATAAAATTATATAAAATCAATTATCTTTCGATTATTATTTAATTCATAAAAAAAAAAAAAAAAAAAAATCATCATAACTGCAATCCTTTGCTTGCAATGTAATTAATTGAAAAAAAAAAAAAGATGAAAGACAAGATAAAATAATGATACTTAATGAAGTTTACTTTTAACAAAAATGTTAGATATGAAGAATAGATGGTTATAAGCTCTTCCTTTGTTGGATATTCAATTGTACAGATTCTAAGTAAAGAAATGAAACGTGGTGGTAGAAGACAATGACTTTCGTCATTAGCCAACGTTATCGATAATACTAACTGAAAATAACGCTTCGATTAAATAAGCCTTCATTTCAAGTTCTAATTTAAAACAATGTCTGTGGACAAATTGCAGTGTTAATGATTAATTAAATATTCTTTTGTCATTTCAGTAATTAGGAGTACTATTTTAATATTAACAATTGAACTTGATAAGTGACGTATTAAAATTAATATGAATCACATGGATTTTAATTTTGTCAATTCATAGTTTTCATTCTATAACTATGGATAACCATTGTAAGATCATACACAATCATTAGAAAAGCATTTAGCTATACAAAGAGATTTTTTTTTTTATTTTAAAATATTTAATAAACTAATTTAAATAATTAAAAAATCTATTTAAAGTTGTCCAAAACAAAATCTCAAGAAAAGCACAAACTTTTTCTTGCTTTTTTTTTCTTTTTCAATAATACAACTTTTTTTGGAAACATACTTGAATATTTTCCAAAGAAATCCACTCTAATTTTTCATTATAATATCCTTTATATGTGAGAAGTTGTTGTAGAAAAGCGATTATTTCACAAGTACCCCATTTGTCCGGCTTTACAACATTAATTGATTTTATATAAAAGACCAAATTTTGCTTCTCTTTAGGTTTAAGCACTCTTCCAGATGCACTGCTAATTTGTACACAGTACTGCTGTAATAAATCGAGTACTTGTTGAGATCTGAAATTTGTTAAATATATGAAAAAAAGAAAAAAAAAATTTATAAAATTCCATTTCAAATTTTAAAAAAATTCCCATTTGATATTATAAAATAAGCAAATTATTTTCTGTAAATGTTTTTTTGTTCTTTTCTTTCTCTTTTTTTCATACTATAAATTATGAAATTGTTCCAAAAAAAAAGAAAAGATGAAAATAAATCATTAAAAAATATGAATAAATGAGAGAAATTCACCTACCCTGTTTGAGCATTACAATGAAGTACCATTAATTGACTATTTGGATCCAATGCCAAACAGTATCGTAACAAACATTCTTTTCCACTACCATCTGGACCGTATATTATAAAAGATTGTCTGTTACGATTATTTAGCCATGATGAAATCTTCAAATTCAAAATTTTTAATAATCATAATCTAAACATTTTGTCATATGTTATAGATAAATGTAAACAATTAAGCAATTTGAGATTTGGAAAATTTTTTTTTTTTAAATTTTTATAACTTAAATTTTGTTGAATAAAAATATTCACTTACAATATCACGATTAGCTTGAGCATTAGCAGTTAAAATATAGGGACGATCCATATTTAATAATTGATCACTGTTATTTGTCATATTCATTTCATCTGTATAAGCTAACAATGATTTTGTTCGTTTGTCGTAGTAAACATTTCCGGGATTTTGCTTATCCGGCAAGTTTACTTCATTGAACACAACCTAAGAAGCTAATGAATAAATTATACATGTTTCTATGCTTCATATCAATTTACTAATTGAATTTATTATAAAGATGAAAGTATAATTTTAAACATCAAAAATTCTGTGTTTTATATTAATGTTAAAATGCAAAAACCAGTACAAATTTATGAACCTCAATAGCAAATTGATTTCGAAATTTTGAATTAATGTTCGGAGCTAATCCACGATACAATGCTACCAAAAATTCATCGCATGTTGTCACATCTGTTAAATGACTCAATGCATTTTTCACTATAACAATTTTACTTACGCTTATTTCAATGGTTCCTTTCGTCAAAATCCAATCTAAGCATCTGAAATTTTTACTGATTTTATGTAAATGTTATTTTATAAGTAACTTTTTAGTCTCTAGCTATAACAAGAGATACAATGAATCTAAACTATAAACTTTCCGCAAGAATTCTGTAAAAATAAAAGAAACTGCAAATTTCAACCTGTAGAAATGATCACGAATCCAAATGGACATATCTGGATGAACATCGCTGTATTCATTAAGCCAATTACTAATAAAATCTTCAACACTCATATCTTCCTTGCTGTAAAAGCAAATTAAATTATAATTTGGATTAAAATTGTCAAAAAATTATAGAAAAAGAAAAGATTAGCATATTTAATTAAGTTGTTTACCAATGTAGATTAGCACAATTGTAACATCAAAAAATGACTAATAATAAAAATTGAACCTAACAAGTATCACACCCATTCGTGATATTGTTGCCGGTGATGCATTACTAAGACTATCGGTTTCAAAAATGAAATTAACATTAGATCCAAACTGAATTCTTTCACCAGATGGCATTGTAAGCTGTAAACTCAAAAATTTAATTTAGTCATTGAATTTTTGATGTAATATTTTACATCCCATTTTTTCTATCTCAGCATTTTACCAATCTATTAAGAAAATAAGAGATGTGCAAATGAAATATGAATGTTCAAAAAAGAAAAAAAAAAAAAAGAAAATTTACCAAACGATTATCATCAAGCACCGAATTAAGTGCTTCAATCCATTCTGGATCAATATCACCGTCGCAAATAATCCATGCTAATACATTACTATCTTTAATAACTTCTCGAGCAACTGTTGTTAACACACCATCAGACCATTCACGTGTATCCATATCCATGTATCCCAAAAGCTGAATTAAAATTTATCAACGATATTGAAATGACCAAAATAGCTTTTTCAATTCTCATTCATTGTGAATAATTTTAAATAGTTCTCTCTATTACTTTATAATATGATTTATTGCATTTATAGAAATGAATAATTCATTTTTTTAATTTAACGTTTTTCTTTTTTTTTCGTCCCCATTAACTTACTTTTTGTTTTGTCATTGATTTTGGATTGATACGATAAGTTTTTACTGGCTTATTTATTAGTGACATAGCTTTTTGAAGTATTTTCCATATGGTTGATTTGCCTGAACCACTCGGACCCAACAATATTACGCCCATTCGTTGTCGCATTTGATCGTATAATTCAAAGATTTTTTTTATCTAAATGATAAGTATCTTGTTATCATCACCAATTAACATAGTAAAATAAAAATTCAGCTTATAAATTATCATATAACAGAGAATACCAATGCATGATCATATCTAACAGAGAGCCAATAACAATATGAGTTATATTTTGTTACATTTTGAACTTATAATTTTATATTTTGAAAATTTTATAAGTTATATTTTGAAAAACTGAACCATATAAAATAGTCCTAGTAATGTTAATTAGTAATAAGAATAAAATTACCTGCATATCAGTAACCGTTATCTTCAATTCACCAGCAACTAATTTAATTGGTTCTAGCAACTCGTCAATCTGAAATTATTTTTTGAATATATAAATTTTTTTATTTTCACATACCTTATGCTAAAATTCATTGAAAAAGAAAACCTGTACGGTGTCTTTCTTAATATTTGAAAAGACATCATCGATCAGAATGCTAAATCGTTTAGAATCTTCAAAGGTGAGTTTTGATAATGTATTCAATGTCAATGCCTGTAAAATTTCCTAATCTTAAATATATATTTTGAAATTAGAAGGAAAAAAAAAAGACAACGATAAAAAAAACTAATATTTCTATAATTGTTATTATGAATGAAAAAGAAAATAATTAAAGATAAATTTATAAAAGTCTGGAAAAAAATGAAAAATGATACATCAACAACCACTTGAACTTCATTTTTATCCGTTCTCTTAGCTAATAAATTACCACAGCTGCGCAATACTGTTTTTAGTGCCCTTAGACCCCAATCATAATGCTGCTGCGAACTTAACATTTCCCTTAAAAATGGTATTATTTTATTTAAATTAGCCTAAATATCACATAATTCAAAATGAAAAAAACTTTTAAACAGAACTGTTTTTACATTTTCCTAAAATTATCGCTCTAATATTAATTTGTGCCCAGTTTTTTTTTTTTTTTTTTTTTTTTTTTTTTTCTATAGAAAATCCACAATGATAATAGTCGAAATTTCATTTCAAATCATCTATTAATTGAGTTACTTACCAAATTAATCAAATGATCTATAAAGTTCTAGCAAGTTAGTGAATTAAAAAAAAAAAAAAAACAAGCTAACTTGCTAAGGTTGAAGATTGATACCAGTTTTCGTGATAACTTCTTTGCATCGCAAAAACCTTCCGCACTCAAAAGTGTTTCTGCTAAAATAATAAAAAAAAAATCATATATTTTGAAGAATCATAGTAAGTATTGAGTAGAATTTCCTCTCAAATTATTTCATAAAAATAATTTTTAATTTTGGCTATTTTTTTTACAACAAAATGAATTTCTTATAGTTTGCTAGGAAAATGATAACAAACCGATAAGTTCGTTGTCCGGTACAGACATAATAATTGGACGAAATAATTGTTTAAGATTGTCCGGTAATTTCTGTCGTCCACCATATCCTTTGCTTACCGGATTCAATGTTATGAATATTGCTGAATTTAAATCTACAGGGACCTAAAATTTTATTCAATATTAACAATAACAGTTAACGAGTTTTTTTCCCGTATGATCATAGGTTTTAAAAATGCAGCCAAGTGCTCACATTTCGATCAGCCAGCATACATTTTCCTGATCGTAATTTTATTGCATCTTGAATAACCTGAATTTGCATTGATACAGCCGAAAGCACTGTCTGAAATTTCATGTTAAATGTTTAATTTTTTAATTTTTAAATTTACAACAACTTTGATTAACAGAAGAAAAATGACCTGATCTAAACGATTAAACTCATCAAAACAACCCCAAGCGCCACATTGTACCAAACCAATGAAAATACGACTCATTGAATAGACATCAATTCCTTCATCGCAGTTAAATACCAAAACTTGTCGTCCAAATAAATTTGCTAGTGCCTTAAATTTTTGTCCTACGATTAATTAAAGTAAATTAAAGTGATAGTAGCACTAATTTTATCTACTTTTATTTATTTCATTTATATTAATCATTGTGCTGAAGTAGTATGATATTGCAAACAATTTTACAACATATATACATACTTTGACAGATTCAGTTTTTCCAGTACCTGCAGGACCATATGGATTACCACCAAGACCCATTGACATTGCTAAATCATTATCTTTTGTTGAAAATTTAAAAAAAGAACAATATCAAAAAAAAAAAAAAATCGTAATTAAATCAATCAAATATTCCATTGTAATTTAAAATTGAATAATAATTATTTTAGGAATAAACAGAAATAAAAAATAAAAGTTTTGAATAATACATACCTTGTGTAAGAGTTAGATAGCATTTATCAGTGAGCGGTGTATGAACTAGTTTTGGTGCATTACCCTAAATTATGTTATTAATAATTTTACTATTCAAAAATAAAAAAAATGATTCTGAGTTAAATTGAATTAATAAATATTTTTGTTCAGATAATAAACCTGATATTCGTAAGTGTAATCAAATCGTGTATTAATATGTCGTATTATCACATGATCCTTTGATTCCAGATAATATCGTAGTTGTTTTTGCCAAATCCATGATGATTTAGTGCTAAAATTTATTTTTGTTTTCATTTAATGAATAATCCAAAAAATTTTTCTAGTAGTAACATGCAATATTTACTTAAGCATAGATTAAATAATTTACATAATTTAAATAGAAGCGATCTGTTTCGAAAATAAATAAAAATTTAAATTTTTATTATTTATAAATTCTAAAATAGAATTTCTTATTGAATTCGATTGTTTTCCCATTAACAAATCATAACTGTCACAACTGGTAAATTGATAATTAGATAAATACCCATTTACTGAACAAAAAAAAAGTGAAATTTAGGAAAATAAGTTTCTTACCAAGGTGAATTGTTGATTAGTTCATCGACAATACTTATATTATGAATTACATCCATTATAAGTGCTTTTAATTTAAGTTTTAAAACATGATCTGATGTTTTTGAATTAATATAATTTGCTAATGTCTGTTTTAATTGTTTCTGATAATTTTGCAAATCACCTCTACCATTTAAAATTCGTTCACATGCTTCACAGAAACGAATTTGTTCCGATAAACATAGAACCTGAAAAATTGTTTTTCGAACTACCAAACCAAACAATAAAAATTTTCATGCAACCAGTAAAAAAATAAAAAAGAAAAACCTGTGATGGATATTTGCCTGGATCAGGTGATGTTTCAGTAACACAATTTATGATCAATTTTCGGATTGTATTTTTCATTTCATTCGAAAGTTCTTGCAACCATTTCTGAAACAATCGTCATGAAGTTAAACTTGATTAAAAACTATATTAAAATACAGTCATAAATTGCTTAAATTTCTACACTTTTTCCTTTCATTTGTAGGTTTGAAAAAAAAAAAAAAAAATTTACTTCCGCTTCAGGAATAATTCTGACTGGTTTTGACAGCTGAACAGTTTCACCATCACCGGAAACCATTGCAATTATCGTTTCACCATTATCACCAAATTTAACTTTATGAATTCCCTATTAAACATTTCAGATTTTTGGAATTAAATTCATGCTTCTAGAAGATTAAAGAAAATATTCATTAAAAAAATGTAAAAAATCTTTTTAAGTGCTATTAAAACTCAAAGTGAATTAAGCTAATTATTAATTAACATTAGCATATCGTGTTTAGATTTTTCACATGCTTCATTTTTATCTATGACTAAACGTTCAATTTTAGATTTAAATGATTATTACATCAATTCAATTACTTTAAATGGAGCATACCTGGAAAAGTTTTTTGAGATGTGTTTGAATTACTGTTTCATTCATCAGTTGACCTAACATTTCCAACAGATCGTCATCACCCAAGAAATAAAATCTTGGAAAAGCATTTCGTTTTTCCTTTAAAAAAATACTCAAAAAAATATTTTTTCTCAAAGTGGTCATTAATATTATATTAATTTTATGATAATATTAATAATACTGGAAATGTTAGAAGGTGAAATATAATATATTTAAATGTCTTTTTTTTTTTTTTTAGTAGTGTACAAACTTCAAGAAATTGATTTAAGGCTTTCTGACAGCGATTAAGTTGATCAATAATTTGTTCCAATGTACGCTTCAAAGAAGTTCGTGTACTCAAACTAACGATACGTGAATCCTCAACCACATCTACAAATTAATTTTTGTTTTATTATTTTAAAACCTTATTGAAATCCAATTATATACTTAAAATTCAATAATTTTATCATTTTACTTTCTTTACTTTCCCCTAGAAATTTTTAGCTATTTGGTCAAATTTGAAATTTTTGATTTTTACAATAAAACTAAAAGGCGGTAAAGTTTTCATCAATTAAAAATAAATGAAAATGATGAAAAAAAATAATGAAAAGAAAAAAAAAAATGATGAGAAATCCTTGTAATTTCTTTAACTATACGATAATTTTAAATATTTATATAATAAATAATTTAAAAAAATAAATAAGTAACCATTTAAGACGGTACGAAATTCAATATCAACTCGATTGAAGCGTGATGCTTCAGATGGAAGTGATCCACGTCCAAAAATTGGCTCCAAATAAATCCATTTACGCTGTATTTCATTCATCCATTGTATATATTGTTCAGTTTCGGCTAATCTAAATTTAAAAAAATAAATAAATAAAGTAAATAAATATTTGCGTAAATTTAAAATATATAATTTTATTGCTATTTGAGTGAAATATATAAATATGCAATTAAAAACGTAATATTGTAATAAATATGATAAATGATATACCGTGTTTCCCATATTGATGTTTTATCAATAAATTGAGCATAATAGGAAGAATTTTTTAGCGATTGCAGTAATGCTTCACTATCTTTCACCTTAATTTTAATGAAATTTATAGAATTAATTTCATAAAATTTAATAAATCTATAAATTTCAATAATTTTGCTAAATAATAAATAAAAATGTACAAAAAATTTGATGAAAAACGATGAATATGATATAAAATGCAAGTATAAAGATCGATACATTTGTATTTTGCTTCTATTTTGATCAAAAATTGATTAACAAAATTTCAATATTATATTGCAAGAACACAAAATACCGAATTTAATGCATCTTTCCAATCTTTGATTATTTTCACAACTGTTCCATTGGAATGTTTGTAGTCAATTAGAACAAATTCTGCCTAAATTTTAAATTTTATTCATTTTTTTTTTTTTTTTTTTGTTTTTGAAAAATATGATGAATAAATTACTGATAAACAATGAAAGATATTTTTTTGTCAAATAAGAAAAGTTTAAAGTGGATTAAAAAAAGCAATTGATGAAGTTAATAAATTGAAAACAATAATTAAAAATAAATGAGAAAACCTGTTCAGCCCAAAGTTCAAGCTCTTGAATAGCTTCACGAATTGTAACTTCACCTTGAGCACGTTCATTTAAATTTTTTAATGCTTCCAAATTTTCGATGATCATTTTATGAACATTCAATAAATCACCAAAGCGCAAATGTTCCAATGTTGTACCTTTCGGCATGCCCAATATTCGAAATAACATTAGCCAATGATCACTGCTTAAGATTTCACCACGACAGTATTTCAAACCAGCACTCATTTCCTAATTTAACAAAATAAGATATACTATAAATAGCTTATTTCATCAAATTATAAATAAAATCATTCATTCCTGCTTTTTAATTTTAATAACCTTATCAAAATTTAGAAATTTCATCAAAATAGCAAAATTTTTGCTCTATAATTAGATGAAAAAGTAAAGTTGTTATCCATCTTACTGATAATATGCTTTCACAATGCTTATAAAAACAAGGAAAATAAGTTCTTTTTTTTAAAGGAATATTAAAAAGTAGATGAAAATTTCATACAAAAATATTTTCTGATTGATAACTAGAAAAAAGAAATTAAACGAAAAAGGAAGAGATTTCTTTAGTTTAAAATAGAGAATTAAGTTTTTTTTTTTTTTTTTTTTTTTAATTTTAAATAGGGTTTTAACTCCTTAATAATAATAAATGATGTTTCAGGCGAAAGATTATTATTTGACATAAATTTAAGAAATTTGGCAAATATTCAGCATTTTTTACCTTTAATTGATCAATGTCCTTACGTAAACGAACAGTAATATGTGCAGCTGGTAAACTTTTCAACTTATCATCCCATTCATGCAAATATTCATCAAAACGATAAGTTTTTGATCTGCAAAAAAAAGAAAAAAAATTGTTAAAAATTAGTAAAAAATTGCTAAAATCCTTTAGTAATTGTCAAAAAAGATTAGAAAATATCCAAAAATATTTCAACTATATTCTTTATGATACTATTTATTTTACACAAATAATCATTTAATTATCATTGTATTATCACGTAGAATAATCCTATGATCGATCAGTTATCATCTCTTAAAAGCAAGATTTGAACAAAACTTCGAATTAAAAAATTAACACTTCAATTAATAATGACTGATTAGTAATAATCTAATGGTGATAAGTAACAATTACATTTACCTGAACAAAATCCACTCTTCGTTAGCCATTTCTTGTAAGCCAACATTAAATTGTTCATACAGTAACCAATTACTTTCACAATTTTTAAGATCAATCTCCATTTCATCAAAAAGTGGCATTTCTGATTTGTTGATATCAAATTGTTCACATTCTGCTCTGAATATCATCAACAACAACATAGGATATTGTAATAATCAAAATTCATTGACAAAAAATTTTTTTTCACACATTATCTCTCAATTTTTTGTTCTGAAAAATTTTCAACATATTTATAATTCAAGAATGCAAATACTTAAATAATAATTTACATTTATGCATTTTTTCATTCATAAATTTTATCATTATCATATTCTAACATTTTTTAATTCGTAACTTTTCTTATCTATTCAAAAATTTACGTGAAAATATTTGTAATTTAATTTTATCATACAGTAAGGCGTCGCGTTTTCGTTGTAACTCATCGAATTCATCACGTTTTTCTTTGATAAATTGTATTGCACCAAGTAAGGCATTTCTGTCATCGTCAAAAAGCTCATTTTTTGGTTTGAATTGATTCCAGCGAACAAATAATTTTTCAATTTCATCATTTAGTGATTTCAGACGTGTTTTAACATTTGATTTCAGTGTCTCCACCTAATAAACAGAAAGAATTAAACAATGCTTAATTGATTTAATCAAGCTAACAAAATTATAATAAGCTATTTGATTAGTCCGTCATAAAGTTAGTAAGTCTTTCTTTTTAAATTCATAAACGTTGGTTTAAATTATCAATTAATTAATCAAAAACAAACTATTTGATTTTTCAAATTAGTACGATTATTGTTTCAGTAAAAACCAAATGTTATTACTTTAAATAAATATTTATCAAAAAAATTTTTTTCTATTTTTAATTAAATAAAATTTTATGGATTGGACTGGATAACTATAAACATTCACTGAAATTTTCAAAATGCAATTGGTCTACATTTCTCTGCCTAATATGCTAACAAAAAGACGATGCTAATATTTCATTTTTTTTTTTTTTTTTTTCACAATAATAAAAAATATGAAGAAAGTATTTTGATAGATGAAAATGTAACAAATAAAGTTTATACTTAAATTTGATTTTAATAATAAACCTGTTCTTTAATCATTAACTGATGGCTATCTAACATTAGCTCAAATTTCTCCCATAATTTTAAAACAATTGGTAATTGTTCAGCACCACTTCCGCCAACTGATCGTAATAAAACATTTTTTTCCTCAATTGAATCAAGCATTTTCTTCAGCTAAAAAAAAAATTTTTTTTTTTTATTGTAAAATAAAAAAATATCAAATGTGATATGCATCATGATGTAATTATAATAGAATTAGTTTAAGAAGACCTCTTTATTAAATTTTCCAAATTCGATATGCTTCTGATTTGCATCTGCAATTTCAGCAACTGATTGTGGTCTTGAACTGAGTACTTCAATTGCTTGATTTAAGAAACGATTGATATCCTGGAAGAAAATCAAAGAAAAAAAGCAGTCAACAAAATATATAAATGCGATTTCTATTCTTTAAAAAAAAAAAACAAAATCCCCACTGCAATTAATTGTAATTAAATTTTAAAAAATTTGCATTGTTTTAACAATTTTTTTCATTAAATTAATTAAGTTAATTTACTACCTAATTAAATGATTACAAAAAATATTACGTGAATTTCATTATTAATGGAATATCTTAACGTCCATATTAACGTGTCGAAGAGACGTTGTAGCATATCATCGACAGCAATTTTAACGGCTGATGTTGAAACAATAATACATTCCAATTTTACTTCACTGTAATATTTCACAAATTTTTTAAATGTCTTATTTATCATTAATATTGTTTGTGATGAAATCGTGCACAATTTAGGATGAAATTTTAGTTAATGGCTTAGAGTTAATAAAAAAAAAAAAATTATCAAGTTGATAAATTAAGGAATTTTGTCATTTAATTTTTGTGAAATGGAAAGAGAAAAAAAAATCAATTAGTAATGACAAATGCAGAGGAAAAAGAAATTTAATTGTTGTTTTATTATTATATGTATTTTTTTATTTTGAGATTTTAGCTTTAAAAAAAAAAAAAAAAAGAGATTAAAATTACTGTGTTATTATTCCTAATACTCATACTTATTTATATTCTGTCGCTTCTTTAAAAGACTTTCGTAGATAGCAAAAAAAAAAAAAAAGCTATTAATACAGAATGGTCGAAAAAAATATTAAACCTTTAAAGACCAAAATTAATTGGCCAATTTTAAATTATTAATGTTTCACCTTGGCAGTTTTTCAGCATCTCTTCCTTTCACCTTCAGTAATTTGATTTGATTTTCCCAGTCTTCAGCTTGTTTAAAATGTTTTGTAATTAAGCTTTCCAGATCAACTTGGCCTAGCACAACCCAGTTCTATAAATTTTTGTTAAAAATCAACAAATTTCAAAATTTGCCACTTAAATTATTATTTTATTCAATTTTTATCTTTTATTTAACATCTAACTCTATTTTAAATCAAAATTTTTGCTACACAAATTGATTGTTTCTTGAAAATCAATCATATAAATCTATATCATTGTTTATCATTTCCGAAAAAAAAAAGGAATGGAAAAAAATTATCAGTAAAATTTTTACCTCAAATTCATTTCCCACATTAACAAGCTTTTCGAATAGTTGTTCTGCTTTTTCATAAACACTCCAAAATCGATTTGCGTTATATTCGATCATTTTTGCAAACAATTCATTAGCCTAAATATCTAATGAAACTTACTACATAATAATAAATGATGAGATTGAATAAGTTGAATTTATTTATCATGAAAATTTGACAAGCAAATTTTCAAAATTTATAAGTAAACTAAGAATATACATTCTTTTTTTTTTCATTTTGATATATTAATCACTAAATATTTGAAAAAAGATTAAAATGCATGCATTTGATATGATTTTAGCTAGTAAATATTTAAAAATGCTCTTTTGTTTACTTGTTCACTTTCTTGAACACCGCGAAATTTCTGTGGAATACTAATAAATTTTCGCAATTCGCGATAATATTTCGCACGAATTTCTTCTAATGGTGGTCGTAATTCAAGTTGCTGATCTCTATAAATATATTAATTGAAATTAAAATGAAATGCCAAATTTTCACATACAATATAAACATTACTTTAATCTATTAAAAATTTATTTAAAAAAAAAAAAAAAAAAAAAAAAAAAAAAAAAAAAAAAAGATAGAAGAAAATAATGTTACAAAATTTATTCATAAACTTTACTTAAACACAAGTTGAACTTGAATTAACGGAATTTGCTTATGAAGACTTTCGATACCCCATTGATATTGCAATTGTAATGTCTGTAAAAAAATAAAAAAACAAACAATTTTAAAATTTTAAGATGATTTTTTTTTTGAAAGAAATTCGAAAAATTATAAAAAGAAATTCTTATAGGTAACAAAATAAAATTCTTTATTAACCTTATAAAGTTGACGATCCCAATGTGATAACCATGGTATCATATTACTACGATTACTGATACTTCGTTCTTGCTCTGCTATTTTACTTCGTATCTCACCCATAACATCTTTCCATTTATCGATTTCTTTTAGAAGATCCAAATTCATTAGTTGTTTTATCTTGTCACAAATTTCGCTATGCGCTTTTCGTAATCGTCGTAAAAATAATGAAAAAATGTTGATGATTGATTAAATTATAAATGAAAAAAAGAAAATTTTGCATTTATTCTTTTTTATCATATTTTTTATTATAATTTAATATTAAGTTAAATTTTTTATCATAATTAAAAATATCCATTTAATGTTTGCATTTTTAATATTTAAACATAATATTGAATTTTGTTATAAAGTTATAAAATAAAAATTTTGCATTGCTAAAATTAAATAATGATAACGTTGATTTTGAATAATATTTTTTGTTCATATTTATCAATTAATAAAATTATGGTAGTTATCAAAGACAAAAAAAAAATGGAAAAAATACCAAAAAGTAAACGGGAAAAGAATGGGTTAAAATATACCATATAAGTTTACCTATTATGTAAAGTTAAACGTTCAGCAGCTGCCTGTAACTTTTCGATGAATTCTTGAAGATGTTTCGGATTATTCCAGCTAACCGCATTTGTTGTTGCTTCTTCACCTTTCTTTCCGGATAGGATTAATTTTTCAAATGCTAAAGCTTCGTCTAACATCATTGCTTGTTGACACGGAAGCATCTGCTGATCCACCGAATTATAGAAATGTGCCACCTTCAAATGTGCAATTTTAATTTAGTCTATTAAAATTGAAAATAAAAATAATGTAAATCAAATAGGACAAATAAGATTGCAAGATAATAGTCAGAATTAAACAAAATTATAAATTATTATAAAAACTCAAAATTATTCCATTCTATTCCAATCATTGATTAATTTATCAATTCAGTGATAAATTGTAATCAATAATTAATTTATCACTTTGGATTATATAAATTTAGCTAATGTCTATTCTTTTCTAGTTTTCTTAAAATTCTCAATAGCTATCAAAACCTAGACATAGTTACTTTCATCTACTATAAATAAAATATTCCTATCAAATTTCATAAAAAAAATTTTTTAAAAAAAAGAAAACAAACAAACAAATGTAATAACCTGTTTAAGAATGATAGCATATTTGTAGAATTGTTCGCCAGTATTAGCACATTCAATAATTTTTTGCGGTAAAACAAATCCAAGACCAATTAATTGACGTACTTCTCTGAGAAGGCGAACTAAACGATCGCTATAGTTGACAATCAAATTACCACCTTTCTGCTCAATACTCATTAGTTTACCACTTGTTTCAAGTGCAATTGAATTTGTCGAATTACAAACTAATTTGATCATTTCTTGGCACCTAAAACTTTTCAATTATATTTTGAACTTAAAACGAAAAACTGAACTAAATTTTAAAATTCAGAAATATGTTAAAAATTATTTTGTATATATTTGATAATACTTAACATTTTGAAAACTCCACAATGTGATAGTTTTTTTTTTCTTTAAATTATTTCATTCATTATTAACTCTTTTTTTTCTTCCATTCGTTTTTTTTTTTTTTTTTTTCAGTTTTAAATTTATTTTGCTTACTTACCAACTACTAAAGCAATCTGATTCTAACGAATGCATTTCATCAATTGCATTTTGAATTTTTACTTGAATTGTTTTATAAGTTGCTAAATCGTTTAACAATTGGTCGCATACAATCTTGATATTTTCAATCTTAAAATATATAATTAATAATAAATTTAAGCTAATTTTTACAATAGATTATTACTTTATTGCTTTTAAAGTTAACCTATCATTATTTATTATTTTCGGAAAGTTTAAAAAAAAATGAATAAAATCAAAAAATAAAAATTTTTCAAAAATTTCATTGTAATAACAGCATCAAAAATCATTATTGTGCTATCATCCATGTCATAAAATAGACTATTTATCAGATTTTTTTTTTTTTTTTTTAACTATTACTCTATCAAATTTTTGTTTTTAAGCTTTAAATTAAAGGAGAAAAAAAAAACTTAACAAAAGTTTTAACTTATAAAATTACCTTATTAATTTCTCGTCGAATCCAAATAAGTTTAGCAGCAATTTCTGTAAGATATTGTCCATTTGGTATATCACTGGTTACAATTCGTTCAATTACTTCACGTTTTTTCATCTCCACCGCATTTACCAAACGACTAAGCAATGTTTCTCTGAATTTAAAAATAGTCTACAGATTTTCTTCTTTAAAAAAAAAAAAAAAAAAAAAAAAAAATGAAAAAAATATATTTTAAATTATCCATAAAATGTTAAATAAAAAAAAGAATGAAATTGAAGTATTATTTACCTTTCCATTAAAAGTTTTTCCTTGATACTTGGACGATTTAAAAAATGTTTAAATTTAATCAGATTAGTTATTGCCTGAAAATTTAAAATTAGGATATATAAAGCATAAAATGAAATATAAATATTATTGGTAAATAAAATTTTTTATGTCATTGTGATTAGTAATTGTAGTGCAATTAAATGTTTTATCAATGAATTTGCTGTTAAATTATTTGCATAAATTTATTAACACTTTCCTATTAGTTTTATCAGTTATTAGTTTTGTAATCTTTTACATTTAGGATATAATATACTTTGCTGTTATTTTAATTCTTTACAATTAATCAAAATTTTAATTTCAGAAGAAAAGCCAGATTTAACTAATCGATAGAAAAATTGGAGGAAAAAAATTTTTTTTTTTTTCGAAAACTTACAGCATCATCAGTGAGTTGATTAAATTGTAAACGTTTCCTTAAAATAGGTAATGCTCTTTCCACAATTGGTTCAATGCATCGTTCTACTTCCTAAATTAGTGCAAAAATTAATTTTTGCAAAATTAGCAATTTGGTGTTTTTGTAATTACTTCATAAACCCAATTAATTAAATTAGCAATTGTAAAACAAATGTAACAAAACTTTTCCTTCTTTTAAAAAAAAGCTGTAAAATTTGAAGTTAATTAAAAACTTACTAGAATAAAAATAAATCAAAAATTTGATGTTAAAATTAAATTGTTTAAACATTCAAATATTACAAACAGTATGAGTAAGTGATTCCATTTCCAGAAATTTGTATTGTTGACATTTTCTTTGTTTCAAAAATTTTCAAATAGCAAAAAAAATAAATTTAAATCTTATTGTTATGAATTATTTACTTCATCCTAAATCTCAATAAACAGTGCAAAACGAAAATCTTAAATTAAAATAATTTCTAATGAAACTAATGAGACTAAAATAAGAGTAATAATAAATGCAATTATTTCACCAATAATTTGTTTTTCCAATTTTGCTGAACAGAAATATCATAGGTAAATATGGGCATTGTACCAAAAATATTTCGAATAATTTGTTCCATTTCTTTTTGCCCATTTTTATCTTTTATTAATTCAGTCATTTGATTGCTTAATAATTTCAATGATAAAATCTGTAAAAACTAATTATTTTTATATGCTTTATGTGGACACAATTAGAAAATTTCTTAATAACTTAAAATATTATTTATCATTTTTAAAAAACAAAAAAAAAAAAAAAAAAAAAAAAAACAAAACAAAATTATTATAAAATTAAATGAATCATTTGTTTATTATTATACTTATTCATTATTATTTATTATTATATTTTTACATATTCACTTATTACTTTTTATTATTATACTTTTATCATTATTGTTTTTTATCAAAATTGTTACCATTGTTATTTCATCATTATTATTAGTATATTTTCATTGAATTTGCAATATTGAAATGTTTTAAAATATGAAAAAGTTTGTGACGCAAAGAAATTATTTGTAATATCATCTCAATAAGTAATGATATATACACATACTTTATCAGTATGTTTTTGAATAATTTCAAAAATTGAAATTATTGATTTATCACCATTCCATGGATTATCAATATCTTGCTTCCACTGTTCAATAAGTGTTGTAATTACAAATTGCCACTGTTCGCAAATGGAAATAATTTGATGTAAAATATCGATTACTGTAACATCGTTCCATATATTATTAATTTCAATTTTATTTGTTATCGAATTAATAATTAGTGCACCTGAAAGAAATTATTACGCATAAATTAATGAAATTTTATATTATAATTTCGAATATTTATATTATAATTATTATGCAAAATGAATAAAACTACATTGAATAAATAAGTTATATTTAACTAATAGATATGAAAATGACTAGCACAAAGTTAGCATTTCATTAGAGTTAGTATGTACGAGCAGTGTAACAAACTTATCACTAAACGAAGCTCTGATATTGATATGATAAGGATTTGTATCCAGCAAACGACACTAGTGATAATATCAACATTTTTGACACTCATAAACTTATTTTATCTATTCACAACATACATTAATACATATAATTGGCATTATATATAATTTAATGAATAAATTATATTTTATTAAAAAGTGACCAGAAGTAAACATTAATTTAATAAAAGTCTAATCAAATTGCAAATTAAAATGATTATTGTACGATATGAGATAATTCATTTTCATTATTTTATTAAATAATTTATTATTTGTTGATCATTTTGAAATGATCGTGTTTTAGGTAAAAATGATATAAAATTGCTGTAAAATTAACATTTACAAAAAATTAAAAAAAAGAACGATCAGTTTACCGATACTATCGATAATATGTCTCATATTATTTTGTGGAAATGATGGTTCACAGTTCCAAAGTTGATTTAAACAATCTTCAATAGTATCAATAACTTCATAAATTTCATCTATACGACAACTTGTAAGCATTTCAAGTTTCACTTCAAGAATTTGAAATACTTGGAAATATTGCAATGCAGCATTGTCCTTTCGATTTTTCCAATAATTAATTTCATCATGTATTGATCGTCTTACATGAATGTTTTCTAAATTATAATTAAAATTCAGAAAAAAAATTTTTAAAAAACAACTAAATAAATAAATGAATAAATAAAGTAATCTCTAAATAGTAAAAATGCTTAAAAAAGAAAAAAAGACCTCTTTTTTTCATCCTAACACATATATAAGTAAATTATATTTTTTTAAATTTCAACCATTATTCAAACATTTTTTTTTCTTTTCAGAAATATAACTTACTTTTGTCATTCTTCGGTTCCATAATCATTTCAAGTTCATTTAAAATTGTATGTAAATGGCTATTTGCAGATGTTTCGAAATTATTTTCAGTTGCTTGTTTGAATATCTTAAGTTTTATTTATCATTATGGATATTTTATTTTTTTTTATAAAAATAGCAATAGTTCATTGTTAACTTCATCACTGAATTTTTAACTGGAAAAAATTGTTAACTAAAATTTGAAATAATTATTGTAAAATATCTATTTAAATTACCAACTTCTCTCACTGAACGAATTAATGCATCCGTTGGACGCCCACGTAATGATAATACTGATATTTTGCTCTTAAAATTATCCAATGGTAATGCAATTGCTTCAAGTTTATAAAAGATCACTCTCAGTAAATCCGGATCATGAATATTTCGCATTTCATTCGTAATATCAAATGCTCCTTTCTGAAATTTGAAATCTCTTCTTGAAATTTGAATTTTTTTTTTTGAATTAAAAATTTGTTTAATTAATAACTAATATTAATAAAATAAGTCGTGAAATGTAATAATCACTTATATTAGAACCTTCAGTATATAAATTTCGTTTTTCCTTTTCTTTTCTTTTTTTTTTTTAAATCGAAACCGAAAACGATTTGATGAAAATTTTCCAAAAATAAAGATTGAAAATAACAAAAAGTTTGCTAACCTGTTCATCTTTGGCAATAATTAACAATGGTGTATTGGTATCACAAAAATTTTGTATTGGAATCAAATTTGGAATTTTATTTTCCGATAAATTTAGCGCAAAAATATGCGATGCAACACGTAAGATATAATGACGTCGAGGATCATTACGTTCGTAATCCATAATTCGCTATCTTAGTAAGCGTATATTATTAAAATTTATACGTTTCTAAAACATCATTCTAAATGCAAACTTTTATTTTACAATTGCCAAAATTTGTTTATTAAGAAAAAAAAATTTCTGCTAAATTTATTACTTAAAAAAAAAGTATTGAATTTAACAAAATTTATGTCAACATTCGTGTCATATCAATTCACTACTTGTCGTTTTCTTTTTTTTTTTTTTTATTTCTTTTAAATAAACAATTAATTTGAAATCATCTTTTGAATATTTTATTTGTTCTAAAAAAAGGAAAAAAAACAAAAGCTAATTTGAAATTAGTAGTTTTATTAATTTTTACAGTTATACTGTTATATCGCGTGCAATTATATATATTTATTTATAATTATTGTGAATTTAAAATTTTGAAAGCTATTAGAATTTTACATTTTTTTTTCTTTGTATAGTTACTATAAATGTTTGTATAAAATACTTCATATATTTTTTTTTTTTTTTTCATTTTTATTAATAATATAGTAAAATAAGCTGTTCATACAAAATTTCATTACTTCAAAACGATACAACGATTACTAATGTCAAAAAATAAAAAAGAAGAAAGTGAGAAATGTCAATTTGTTTAGTAATAAAAAAAAAAAAAGAAAGAAAGAAAAAGTAGCTGGAAGTGAAATTAAAGAAGACATCAAAGATTGATTGCAAAAATTTGCAAAAAAAATGTAAAATTATTTGCATGATACATTTTGTTCAATCGTTTTTTTTTTTTTTCAATTTAATTTTTTTAATTCATAAATTGTACATTAAAAAATTTATGTTATTTTTTAAAATTTTCATTGAAGTTTTTGTTATAAAATTCATTCACAAAAGCTTAATTATCATTATATTTCAACTTTTTTTCACTTATTTTTTTATTTTTCCTTTTCAGTAAAACTTTAATTTGGGAAAATTTTTTCTCAGAAATACTATAAGAAAGCAGGAAAATAATGGAAATTGTTTTTTTTTTTTTTATTTTTTCTAACTAATTTAAAAAATTTTCACTAAAATACTTTCTTATAAATTTCTTTTAAATAATTCATAATTAAAATATTTGACATTATACTCTCCATTATACTTCATCCATGTCATAATTAAAGTAATACCTATAATAATAGCATATATTAGCTAAGAAAAATTAAAAAGCATCAATTTCTACCTTTTTTCTTAAATTGATTATTTTGAAAATTTTAATATAGAAGGTTTAATTTTTCAAAAAGGGAAAAAAAAAATTATTATTTCAACAATCAATGTGTACTAATAAACTTTAAACCCTTTTTTTTTTTCTGTTTCTTAAGCAAGGATTAATAACATAAATCATTTTAAAGAATTAAAAAATGAAAGAAACGAATGATTCGTATTGGAACAATGATATGATACGATGTAAAATGCTAACGAATAAATTGATTGAAAATGTTTATTATAATTCGGTTGCCATGGTATTTACAATTATACAAGCCATCCAACTTATGCTCATTTCAAGATATTTCGGATAGCAACGGAGAAATGAAAATTTTTTCCGGTATTTTAATAATTTACAGAGAATACTTAAAAACACTTCAATTTTTCATCACTTGTGAAAAAAAAAAAAGAGTTAAAATGTTAACCAGTAAAAATTTTCTGATAATTTTTATTTTTTTAAAAATTTCTAAAAGTGTTTCAACTTTTTTTTTGCCTTGTGTCTATAGGGTGAAACAAAAAAAAAAAGAAAAAAAATGAAATCACTTGATTGAAGCAAAAAAAAAGTTTACAAAACCTGTGTATACTTCGTTTTTTTTTTTTTTTTTTTTTTAAATACTATTTATAAAGAAAAGAAAGAAATTGTCAAATTTTCCTTTCTTTTTTTAAAAAAAAAATTCATTTTTGCTTTGAACAAATCATTGAAAATGCATTAAATTATCATCAATCCATTTACTTTTAACCATTTTTTTTCACTTCTTATTTTTTTTTTTAAAAAAACTTCTATCACTGCAATCATTTCATTTATCTATAAATTGTGGAAGTTTTCTGATATCAATGTTATTCGTTCTTTTTGATAATTTAGCTCCTTTCCAACATTATTTCTTTTTTCTTTTTTCATCTTTTATCATTTCAGTTAATTGTGCTTTTTCATCATGATAGATTCAACAATTTGAATATTTCAAATATTAAGTAAAAAACTGTTGAAAGATATAATTTTTAGAACTTATATTATTAAGATAAACAATAATGATTTTCATTCCTTTTGTATCAATGTTTCAAATTAACTTTTTCCTTTGTAAAATTTCTACAATATTACAATATAAATTGAAGAATTTAGAACAAACAAACAAACAAACATGTATCTGTGAATGGAAAAAAAAAGGAAAAAGAAAATTGAAAACATAATTAAAATATTTCATTATTAATAACGATACAATTAACATCTATCGCTCGAAAAAAACGAAAAGAAGAGAAAGAGAGAGGAAGATTTTCTAGCATTTTGTCCCATTTGTGACTTAATTTTTTTTTTTTTTTTTGAAAAAAAAAGCTGATTATTTGATGAGTAATATGCAAACCATGGAAACTTTTTCAAACATCGATATAATTAAACAAATATTCACAAAATATGCTTGGATGCATTTTTCACATTGGTGTTACCCTACTGGCTTGTCGCTTCTGTTTACTTTTCGCATTTGAAAAAGAGGCGTTTTATTTGTCGTTAACAAAATTTCGAAACCAAATTTCTTTTTTCTCCCTCTCTCTCTCTCTTTTTTTTTTTTTAATTTGTTAAATTGGTTTGTCTGAATATAATTTTTGAAGTTTATTATTTCAATATTTATATTTAAGCACATATATGTAGGTGTGTTAATTTGATTAAAATATATACATATAGTATATACTTCACGAAATTTTAAACATTTTATCGTATCCATAAAAATGATTCGTTTTTCTGTTTTTGTTTTTTTTTTTCCTTTTTTTTTTTTTGCAATGAATGCGAAAATAAAAGGGAAAAAAACAATCGATTCATCATTTTTTCATTTTTCATTTTTTTTTCTTCTGTTACTCCCTCTCCCTTCTTCTCTTCGTCTCTCTATGTTTATGTCTTCTCGTTTCTCAAAATTTTTTATGAAAAGTTCATTTTTATTTCTCTTTCCCTTCCTTTCATCTTTTAATCATTTTAATTCTTTCTCCCTCTTTTCTTCTCTGTTTCTTTTTCTCTCTCTCTCTCTCTCTCTCCCATCCTTTTTTTTCAAAGGTCATTTTGATGTGTAATTTTAGCACATCTTTTCAAGTAAATAATCAATTCATATAAGCCTTAAACCTACTTATAATTGATTACAATTCCTTCAAACTTTCTTTTTTTTTCCTTTCCCATTTTTTTTTTCAATTTCTCTTTTCTGTTAATTTTCATCTCTTTCATCTTTTTCTCAAATTTGAATTTGTTATATGTTCAACATCTCTTTCACTTCATAACAATTTTACTACTTCATTTAGTTCTTTTTTTTTTCTTTCCGCTCTTTTCCCTCTCATTTTATCTTTTTACTCTTTTTTAAAACATAAAAATTAATGCTTAAATAATTTGGTGTCCATTATATTTTCAATTTTTTCATTTTTTTTTTTTCTTCTCATTCTCCAATCAATTATTTCAAATATAATAAATACATAAAGTGCATAGATGTACACATATTCATATCTGTTATAACATATTTAATAAAATATTATACCATAATATGAGTGTGCAATGTAAACATAAGCACACACACATGCACCTATATATGTATACTTAAATAAAATGTTATAAATTGATTTTTCTTTTTATCGTGTTCGTTATTACTTATAATTGTTATTGCCACTACTATCATTATTATTAAATATTATTTCCACAGTCATCTAGTAACGATAATAATAATAGCAATAATAATAAGTAATAATGTTAATAATAATAATAAATAGTAATAATTAATACACTAAAACTAGACAAAGAATTACTGAATAATACGGCAGTAAAATTACGAGAAACGAAAAAAAAAAAAAGAACATTTTTAACATCAAACATTCTCCCACTTCAACTATTTTATCAAAAAAAAAAACTTTTTTTTTTCACATTTTAGTTGAGTGTAGCTCATTATTTTCGTAGCATTCATCTGCTGTTAGCTCTTTTTTCTTTTTTTTCTCGGAACAATCATCATTAAAACCACTAATTACTATCATTACTGTTATCATTACAATTTGCTATCATTATCAGCTGGAAATATTATTGTCACTATTAATTAACTGTTTAAAATAACGAAAAAAAGAAAAAAAAAATCAGAACAATCAGTGAATCAATCGAATGGCATATTGTATTGATGTGATCAGCTGTGTAATTGCTATTATTGTTCTTGTTAAATCAGTGAACATTGATTTTAATCCATTATTTCATGACAATTGTGCTGATTACAATCATAAGGTAATCAATTAATTATCATCTATTTCAAATTCAAATTTAAAATGATAAGATAAAAGAAAGAATGAACTGATTAATTTCAAAAAAAAAAAAAAAAAGAGAACATTAACAAATCATCTCGATTTAAACTAACTGAGATTGATCGAGTTTTATTTTTCCTGTTTGAAAACTTAGGAATAATTTAGATAATGCGAAAAATATTTTCAGGATTTCACATGCACTGTCCGTTCAGGTATGATAATCTTTTTCTAAACATATTTATTAAAAATTCCGGAAATGCATACATTGTATTCTCATGAGAAATGATATATCTTTTTTCCGTTTATGATGAATAGAAAAATGCTAATATTGCATTGTTATCTAGCTAAAAGAAATTCATGAAAGATAATGTATGAATTAATCGGAATTCATAAATGATATATGTGATCGGCTGGGGCAGAATTCATAAATGATCAAATTTAAACTTAAATTCCCATTTGATCATATATTATCGTAATATGTTAGTATGATAACAAGTCGGTTAGTATCGAAGCATAGTAGTATAACGTTTCTGAAAACAATCAGCAAT